CCCGCCCCTTTCCCAGCAACGGTTGCTACCCTTTTCGCTGCGTCACGGCGCCCTTGGCCACGCCCTCTTTCCCCCCCGAAGAGAGGGAGCACGCACAGGGCGCCGCCGAACGGGGAGGAGTCACGGGGTGAGACACACGTGACGCGGAAGGGTCAGCCGGCCCCGAGACACTCCGGGCGGAAGTCCCTGTTACAGCCAGGCGGAAATGCGCAGGCTCCCTGGGCCGAGAACTGGCCGGCGGGTTGATCATCACCATCATCATCTTAGCCCTGCATAGGTGGAAAGAGGGGAGCCGATGGATCCTCAAGTCCAGCCCCTGTCAAGGAGGCACCAAGGGGGAATCGAACTCCCAACGGGGTTGGTCTTGGGTCAGTTCGGATCTCCATTGCAAGGAGGGGTTGAGGGGGAAATCCCCAGGCCAAGTAGGGTTGCTAAGTAAATCTCAAGGAAAGAAGGGACTCTTGCCCTGATTTCTGTAATTCCATCTATTTATAGGTATTTCTGCAAAATTAGAAACTGATTTTATCTATTTACGTGGCTCAAGGGGGTGTACAGAATTTCGAAGTGAACAATTTGTAGATTTTAATAGAGCAAAATTTAGAACACTTTAAAAATTTGTTCTCCTTGAAACGGAATTAAGAGATCACCAGCCAAAAGCGGCTTACGCTCCTGTGGGCAATTCGAAACAGAACAAGTCCAAACAGCAGAGAGCAAAACGAGAAAAGGCAGGCACAAGGGCTCGCGTTAGCCAACACAGAATAAGAAAACATCTCTCCGGAATGTGGAAGCCTGAGCAGGCTTGAGCCTTGGACAGCTCTAAGGATTGTCCCAGCCTGCCTGGTCTACGTAGGGAAGGCCGACAGTGCAAGGGGCTGTCAGGAATCACGGATCTTTGGTTGCCACAGCTGCTCTTGAGACGGTTGCTGCTGCTGGAGGAACAGCTGCCATGGCTTCTTCAATCCCCAGGGCTGCCTCTGGCCCTCCAGCTGTCAAAGTCTCCAGTGGGCTGCTGAGAGATCAATCCAGACACTCCACAACCTCAACCTTGTTCTTGGGACAGCCAAAACTATACCTGGTGGCCCCAACATAAAGTAGGTATAACCTAGGCCTTTGTCAGCCCTCAGGGCTCCTCCTGGGAATCTCCCTGTGCACCTTCCTCCTCCACCTCGAAAGTGTCCGGATCTTTCTCTCCCAACTGACAGGTCACGACTTTCCCCTTCCCCAGGCAGCTTGGATATCCTGCCACAGTCTACCCTTCCAGGGCCAGCTTCCATGCCTGGGAATCTCCCTGTGCACCTTCCTCCTCGACCTCGGAAGTGTCCAGATCTCTCTCACCCAACTGACAGGTCACGACTTTCCCCAGGCAGCTTGGATCTCCTGCCAGTCTACCTCTTCCAGGGCCAGCTTCCACACCTGCCTCAGAATCACCAGCGTCTACCTCCTGTAGATCCAACAAGGAATGGGGGGGGGAGAGGGAGGCAGACCACCCGCTGGGGGCACTTAGCTGACACTACAACTCCCCGCAATAACCCAGCTTAGAAGAATAATTACAGGTATAGGATAGTCGTCTCCCTTAACCTCTATCCCCTTAGCAAGTCTCCAGATCCTTGCACCTGCCATGTGGACCAAGATCCAATTACTGCTTTAATACCACTTCTGTTACTTGCTAAGTATAGCAGAAGCCAATTAAATCCACGACATACAATACAAAAAAAAAGTCCTGAGACATTTTAAACACATTTATTGTATCATAGGTAACAGAGTGAATAGTGCCCTTCTAGGCATGGCTTAAGATACATTCTCATCACAGCCTAGGGCCAGCGTACGGCTGCTTCCAACGTTGAGAGGAGGGTTTAGGAAAGGCAGGCACCTCTATTTGTCTCTCCATTCTTTTGGTGTGATCCGGCCAACAGGAGACAAATTCAAGTCGTACCCTCCTATTGTAAAAGCCTGCAAGAAGGAAGGTGGGAAATCAGCAAATGAAAGAATGCCATGCTTTCCAGCAGCTGCAACAACAAACCAGGTGCCTAGCACTCTCAGCAGCATTCTGCCACACTCCCTCCTCCCCAATCCTCTACCTCAGCTTGACAAATGTGCCAGCACACAGCCCATGAAAGTACAGCCAAGGCCAAGTGCTCATTTAGACTTCTCAAAGGCTCCTGCTCCTGATTTATAAAACACATTTTTAAAAATTATTCTCACACTTCAAAAATTTCAAAGTGGCCTTTAGCAGGCAAAACCCTACAGGAGCTTCCTGGTTGCTGAGCCCAGACTGATCTGACTCTCTTCCTTACCAGCCTTTCATTGGCTGATGAAAACCACTTTAGACGTACTTTGAATACTTGGTAAACTGTCTTCCTCACATTGTTGGTGTGACTCTGCAGCTCATTAGTAGCTCTTATTCTGATCTTCTTCGTGTGCTGCCCCACTTTATTTTTTTGTATTATGAATTTATTGTGTACTATGACAGTCCTTGAAGCTGCATATATATTTTAATGAAAACAGGACACTGAGTGTTTGTAAAGGTAGCTTTTAACAGGTACTTCTGTCCTGGAAACCCTTTAAATCCTAAATGAACTCCATTGTCCTTTAAAGGAGTGGTAAGTCATACTAGCAACCTTACTTAATTTTGAATAACCGAACAGGAAATGACAGGGAATTGACAACAGCCACCTAGAAAGCTGAAATACTTACATATGTATAAACGGCCACACAAAACAGACCACTACTAATAAGAATCAGGTTGCCATATTTCCCATGAAAATCAGGTTCACCTCTACGACGAAAGTTTCTTGTCACAGTATGCTGAATCCCACGAGCTAAAAAACACAGCAAAACTTCAAATTAAATTTTGTTTTGCATTTGGCTCTCATGCATGACTAAGCTCCAACAGTGTGTTGCAGGACCAAACAAGGAGCAAAGCAGTACAGTATTAACATCTAGGACTGAAGCATGAATAGCATTCTTAGACTAGGTTAACAAGCTTTTTCTTTCAAAAGAACCTCAGATTTACATGGAACTTTTTTTGCCCAGACAGGGAAAAATGCAAAGCCCTTCATTAGGATAGTTATAAACTCCTAACTGGGCTCCCCAGCTTTTTCCTTTATACCTAACCTGCAAAAGGAGAGAGATTATCTCAACGTTTCCTGGTTACATTTAACAAACAATTTCAGTTATTTCTAGATTATTTTTACTATATAGACACAGCTCATTGCAATTTTTAATCTACATTTTAAACAATTTTTATTATACTTATATGCTGCTTTTATGTGTTTGGAAACTGTCTAGAGTGGTCGCAAGATCAGATAGGCGGGATATAAATAAAATACATACATACATACTGTACATACATCTGATTGAAAACCAAGAGAAAACTGCACTCTGGACTCTTAGTCACATACATACATACATACATACATCAGATTGAAGACCAAGAGGAAACTGCACTCTGGACTCTCCTTAGCTGAGGAGGGGGAGAAGAGGCTGGAGGATTTAGGGACTGCTCATCATGACCAAGCGATGTGGTCCTGATCCATGAATGCTAACAGACTGCATGATGGGTTTCTCCCATAGAAATACTGTCTATTCTTGCTTGCATTTCATATTGTGTAGTGACCACAGGGCTCCCGTTTATTGCAAGGGAATTAAGGTACCCCCGTTCCTCACCACTGGCGATGCTCACCAAGACTGCTGGGAGTTATAATATCACAAGAGCCGAAATGAACACTTTGCCACTAAGTCTGGTCACCACCTCCTTTGCAAAGCACCACAGAGGCACTGGAGCGGCCCTATAGCCAAGACCCCAAATCTTTCCCCCCGCTTCCCCCCAATTGACATCTCAGACGAAAGCATGCTTTGGATCGGAAGGAGTGGTCTTAACTGACCAGATAGGCGGGATATAAATTAAATAAATAAATAAATAAATTTCCTGCATCCTGGTTTCCAATACCATTCGATGGACCACTTCCTTGTGTTTCCGCTTAGCGGCTGAAATGGAGGTGTGCTTTTTTTAAATGGATGGTTGTGATTGCCTTTAAATGTTTTTTCAGTGCTGATTTCACTGACTGCTTTTCATATAATCCTTGTTCAATTCTTTTGTATATGCATGCTCCCTATTTAAAACTTTCAAACATGGTCTTTTAATTGTTGTAAGCGGCCTTGGGTCCTTTTAAAGAGAAAAGGCCAGGCAAAGGATTTTCAAAACAAACGTTGGCCAACGACTGCACAAGGGGAGGCGATGCTTCAGGCCAGAAATGCCTCTCTCCGAGGCCTGTGGCCTACCTCACAGGGCTGGTCTGAGGGGAACTTGCAGAGACGCGGAAGAAAAAGCCGAGGGCAAATGCCTGGAATTGTGAATTTAAAATCCCCTTCGCGAGGGCTAGGTGGCCTTTGCATGCACGGGGCCCAAGGGCGCCTTCTTGCCCACGGGAAACTCAATGGGGCAAGAAAAAGAAAAATAAGCGGTTAACCTTGACTCGACACGCGAAGCATACACACGCGTTCATTAACCCGCAGGAAGGCTCAACCCAGCTCCCGAAGGTGGGGGGGTGCGCGGCCGGCAGGACTCACTTGCGGGCCTCAAGAGGCTCCTCGCCCACGGCAACATCTCCGCTCCTCTCACAGAGAGAGAGAGAGAGAAAGAAACAACGACGACCTTCCCACCCGCTGCCAAACGGACCAACTGACCCGCCTGGACCCTGAAAAACAAAATGGCGCCTTCCCTCGCGCGGCCCGCGCCTGCGCCCTTCCGCACAGGCGCCAAAAGCCCTCTGGGAAATGGAGTCCGGCGGCCAGGAGGGCGCGGCCTAGCCCAGCCTCGGAAAATAGCTGAGGGGGGGGAAGAAGACTTTTAAAAGGAGGCGGTGAGGGGGCTCTTTTCCCTCCCCCCCAGATTTATCATACCGTCTTCCAGGCGTCCGGAGTAACCCCCCCCCTTGGGGGCTGAAAAAGACCCCTCAGAGCGGGGGGGGGGAAGAGAGGAGGAGGAGGAGGAGTCGGCACCGCCTCCATTGACGAGAACGAGAAGGGCTCCCGACGCTTGGTTGTCGCGGTGTCAGGATGGCCGAGTGGTCTAAGGCGCCAGACTCAAGGCGGTGCAAGCCTTCCCGAGAGCGGGGCTGGGTGTTCTGGTCTCCGTATGGAGGCGTGGGTTCGAATCCCACTTCTGACACATTCCTTTTTTCCTTCCCCTTTCTTTTAAATCCGCTTTTTTTCTAGACGATTATTTAAATCTCTTCTAAATGATTTCAGAACAGCGCAGGGACGCCTAGGAAGAAAGAAAAAAGAAGAGGAGAGGCGATACCTCTTTTCATTGCAAGGTGTTAGAAGCCAAAGGAGGGCTTGCTGTTTTCCTCTCCACCTCCAAAACCGTGGGTTGCTTATTTAAAATACTGTATTTTTATCCCGCCTTTCTCCTCCAAAGGACCCAAGGCGGCTTACATCAGTGAAATATTTATCATATTTAATATGATAATTAACATAATAAAATCAGTACAGTATTTAAAAGCTAAAAAAAGCAGGTATACAAATATTAAGTTAAAGATTAGAGTCCAAGGAGCTTTTCTTTTCCTTTTCAACCCCTGGTTCGCCACCATGCATTAAGAATCCTGAATGATAATAATAATAGTAATAATAATAATTCTTCACCGCCAAGATAATACCAATTTATGGTGACCCTTTCCAGGAGGTTTTTCTAGGTAGGGAATACTCAATACCGGAATAAAATTCAGTGCTTATTTTGCACAAAACTAATTTAAGACTCCTGCCTCTAGTTTGCTAGTTTATTCATTGTTTATTAAATTTATATTTTGCTCCTTGATTTGTTTTTAAAAAATATACAAAGCGTCAATAGTAGTTCCTTTTTTAAAAAAAAAAAAAACCTAGATCTACTTCTCCAATCCGGCCCAACTGGTTCCACTCTTTGCCTGCTTACTCGCGAGTAAAAAAAAAATCTCCATTGAGTTCCTGGAACTTGAACCTCCCACCTGCAGCCTACAGGGGGCGGGCTGCCTCTTCCGCGAAGCCCCGCCCACCGGGGCCCCGAGCGACCAATCCAGCCTCAACAGCTGGCTCCCTTTCCCCCCATCACCCCTCCTTTGCCCCGCCCACTCCTTTCTCTTCCGTCCCAAAAGTAAAAGTTCTGCGCTGGGGCGGGGAAGCAGGAAGTGGAGCGGACCAATGGGGGACCAGCGGAAGTGCCGCTTGGTCCAATCGGCTCCGGGCGCGAGGGGCGGCTTGGCCAATGGGCGCCGAGCCGCCGGCCAGGGAGTCCGGGGGAGGGGTCGGGGAGCGGCGAGTCCCCTTTCTGGCTGGGAGGGAAGACGCAGGGAGTGATGGCGGCGCCGCTGCTGAGGGTCTGGGCGCTGGGCTTCCTAGCCCTGTGGGCCGGAGGGGGCGGCCTCGGCGTCGGCGGGCAGAAGAAGAAGGANGCCAGGTGGTTGTCCTTCAGGTGCAGCTGCTGAGGCTGCAGAGCAAAGGGTTGGGCCAGGAAGCGGAGGGAGGGCGGGGTGACCCTCGGCTCAGCCTACCTCGAAGGGAGGTTGTGAGCCGAGCCTGGGGGGGGGGGAGCGCGAGAGTCCTGTGTGGCGACTGGGTGGAGCTCCCCTGGGTAGATGGCCAGGTTCCCCTAACAACGGAGCCGAACTTCAGGTGCAGCTGCTGAGGCTGCAGAGCAAAGGGTTGGGCCAGGAAGCGGAGGGAGGGCGGGGTGACCCTCGGCTCAGCCTACCTCGAAGGGAGGTTGTGAGCCGAGCCTGGGGGGGGGGGAGCGCGAGAGTCCTGTGTGGCGACTGGGTGGAGCTCCCCTGGGTAGATGGCCAGGTTCCCCTAACAACGGAGCCGAAGGGGAAAGAATAAGGGGACGTATAAAGGGGCATCTTGCATCCTTTCACACAAGGTGAGATGAAGCCTCGGCAGGTCGGAGCCGCTGCAGCCCTGGTTGAGCACGAGGAGGAGGAGGAGAAGAAAGGCTATCACCTCAACTGTAGGAATAGTAATAACAGTAACAATCACAATAATATTAGTAACAGCAACAGTGGGAATAGTAACACTTCACATCATGCGGCATCCAGTTGCTTCCAAAGGATGGTGACCCTAATTTTAGGCTGAAGATCGGGGGAAACTTCTTAACTCTGGAGGCATTCTAGAGAAAATGGGAAAACCAAAGAACCAGTGGTCCTAGAATCATGGAGTTGGAAGGGGGCCTCTCAGGCCACTGAGTTCAACCCCTTGCTCTGATCTTTCAGATGGTGCTTTCAGAAAAAGTCAGCCAGTTGATGGAATGGACCAACAAAAGATCTGTCATCCGACTCAACGGGGACAAATTCCGGCGTCTAGTGAAGGCACCACCGAGGAACTACTCCATGGTTGTGATGTTCACTGCACTTCAGCCTCACAGACAATGCGTTGTGTGCAAGTATGGGCTTACATTGCTTAGAAACCCAAAATGACTGCAAAGCTTGTTAACGTCTGTCCATTTCTGCTTTCCTTCTTCACGCACATTTCTTTTATTGGAGTGGGGGGGATATCCTGCTGTTACTAGCTCTGAGACTAGTTCCAAAGCATAGATGTGGTTGTATATTTTGATTACAGCTTCTGGGATTCTGAGCGCATTTGTCAAAAAACACGCCTCCACTGCAAAGTGAGGTCCTCCTTTCTTAAAGTCTCTGATAAGCCAAACGTTTCACAGTCTGCCTGACCCAATCAGATTTTCACAGTGGCTTCTTACATCTACACAGGCAAGCAGATGAAGAATACCAGATACTGGCAAACTCCTGGCGGTACTCAAACGCCTTCACCAACAGGATCTTTTTCGCTATGGTTGACTTCGACGAAGGTTCTGATGTATTCCAGATGGTAAGGTGCTGCCTTGCTGATGTGACTCCTGCTGGAATAGGGTGTGGAAAAAGAGATGCGCTTTTTTATTTTTAAGAGGAACACATGTCCCATGGAATCCTAAATAGGATTATTCAGAAGGCTATCCCAGAATGTTCCTCCTCCTCCTGTATCTTGAGGATTACAATCCCAGCTGTGAAAAAGCCTAGAGGGGTTATAGAGATTGCTGCAGCTTGATTCCCTGAAGTTTAGTGAAAGAAGCTCTGCCCTCCAGCTTTCCCTCAGCTCCCACCTACATGGCAGTGGTGATGGAGGTTGTAATCTAGCAATATCTGGGTGGTGTCTGAAGGGTTCAAATGCTCCCCATCCCTAGAGTAGGTCTAACAGGAGAAGGAACTATCCCTCTTTTCAGGTTTGCAACGTAGATCTAAATATTTTGTTTTGCAGACTGTACAGTGAAAGGAAGTGATGGAATTTTGGTAATTTCAGAATTTGATCGCGATTGTTATATGCTATTAATTTGTTACATTTGTATTCTGGGGTTCCTGCAACGAGTTCATTTTAAAGTACGGATGTTTCAGTCTTGATATTTCAAGTTACTTTCTAGATGACCGGATGTTTTCTCACGTTTCGTTTTAAAAATGCAGCTCAACATGAACTCTGCTCCAACTTTCATTAACTTCCCACCGAAAGGGAAACCGAAAAGAGGTGACACTTACGAGCTACAAGTACGAGGTTTCGCTGCTGAGCAACTTGCCCGCTGGGTGGCTGATAGGACTGATGTCAATGTACGTAAAGGCCAGAATTTGACTCCCATGAAGTGCTGTGCTTCTAATTGGTCATTTATTTCCTGTTTTGAAATGCTTCAATATGTAAATGGTCTTTGCCACAGATTCGGGTGATCAGGCCTCCCAACTACGCCGGACCCTTGATGTTGGGCCTGCTTTTGGCTGTTATCGGAGGCCTTGTGTACTTGAGGAGAAGCAACCTGGATTTTCTTTATAACAAGACAGGTTGGGCTTTTGCTGCCTTGGTAAGCAAACCAACTGCTAAAGCTTTTCATTCTGCTCTCCCGTGGCCTGTGCCATTCAGGCTCGCCTTCCCATCCTTCCCAGTCCCTTGATCTGTTGCATAATAAAACAGGCGTATTGTTTTTTTTATGAAACGTCTGAGAAGTTACATTTAAAGGAATCACTCCTGCTGCTTTCCGCTTTGAGATAACCCCCTTAAACCTCCCAGGTATGGGGCTCGCTCTCACTGTACTATGGAATTGAGTAAATCAGTGCAATTAGTCCTTCAGAGAGATTTTGAAAACCAAGTTGGGGCAAAGACCTAGCTCTCCGGGAGATGAAACTCGGGAAGTGGGAAAAGCCCGTCTCATCCAGACTTCTGCTGGAATCACAGGCTGTGTCCCGGCAGTGGTGCCTGCCGTGGGCATTGTCTTCCAGTCTGCCGGTTGTGAACTCAGACACGTCTGGGTTGCACTGTCAGTCACACCCTTGACCTTCTGGGAAGGCTGCTTGTGTAATTGTCATTACACTTCAAGTATTCTTCAGTAAGATTTGGGCCTTTTCCACTAGCATTGCATGAGATCCGTTAAGAGAAAGAGGGGCTTTGCCCCAAGGATGTTTTGATTCATAGCACGTTCGGTAATGTATGACATAATCACGATCATAATCTGTTCCTTTTCAGTGTTTTGTCCTGGCAATGACCTCGGGGCAAATGTGGAATCACATTCGAGGGCCACCCTATGCTCATAAAAATCCTCACACAGGCCAAGTGGTAGGTATCCATACTTTTAAACTAGGGGAGTCCCAGCTTGCAGCCAGGTTGGAACAGGCTCAGCAGTGACCCTCTAGTTCCAGCAAAGCTTGGCAGAGCCTGCCTCCTAGGCCCCCTCTCGTGTGTCTGTGTGTGTGTGTGTGTGAGAGAGAGAGTTCAAAATGTCTTAAATCTTCACCTTTTTTTGTGTGTGTGTGTGAGAGAGAGAGAGTTCACCATGTCTTAAATCTTCACCTTTTTAAAAAAATCTTGCAGAACTACATCCATGGGAGTAGCCAAGCTCAGTTTGTTGCTGAAACGCACATCGTCCTGTTCTTCAGTATCCTTCGCAATGTCAAATATTCCAGCATCAAGGCATGTCTTAGCAGACCATGCCAAAGTACTCTGCAGCACATATGGGTGGAGGTAGTTATAGCAACCAGAATCACAAAAGAAGGGTTACCTGATCAGCAGGCATTGCAAATGTCATGCTTCTCCATCTTTTGAGGCACGCACAGGTGACCTTGCTGGCCAGGAGATGCCGTCGATCGGTGTCTCCCAAGGAGAGGCTGTTGCTTTCCTCGTGCAGACCCAATGTGGCCGTCGGGATAGAAGACCCACATGTGAGGTGGGCCCTACAAAAAAGATGGGACAGCAACAAACATAATGAGGCCACATCTGTTGGCATGCTTAGATTGTCAGGGATCACCGGATACAGTGGCTGGGAGTGTGCTTTATATATACTGAAAAGTGACAACAGAATTGCTGTCACAGTTCCCATCCTTTCTGCTCTGATGTTTCCACGTGAGTGTAATATCTCAGCAGGACATAGCACTTTTTGATGTAGTGAAAACTTAATACAGAGTAAATCCATTAACCACCTCAAGGTAACAAAGATTCTGTGGTGTCTGCTTCATGCCGTGTAACGTAATGCTGCCCAACAGTGTTCTCCCTTTCTACCTCTCCCCTCATCGGTGCTTCCTGTTTCCAGTTATGCATAAAAACAACACAAGCACATTTATCTCCTTGTTTGACGAATAGGTATGGAAAGAAAGCCTAATAAGACCAAGAAGGCACAAACTGAAAATGCTGCGACTGAGTGGTTCCTCCATTCAATATAGCTCCACTTGTATGTTTTACTGAATAAGTGATTGTTGTTATATGCCATCTATTGTCTTCCCCATATGTTTTCATAAATATCTTAGATGCCTAACCTCAGTCCTGGGGTAACAAGATACATTGGCAGAAGGGGAGTTGACATTCATGTAGTACCTAGAGGGAGAATGGCTTTCGGGTTCTGAATTTCCCCGACGGAATTAACATATCCTGTCCCCTGACCTGAGTTTGGGCATGTCGGCAGGCTGCTCTTGCCCTTCTTTTTAAGCTGCCCCTGAGCACACGGCCAGAATGTGTTTCCTTTTATAGTAGTCTTCATCCTACGGAGAGCTGTTCTCTCCTTGTGGGCTGCGCTCAGCGGGCTATAAACTTCTCAAACTCTGCCGAAGGAAAGAGGTTTCTAAATGGTTCGGCGTCCTTTGAAATGTTTGCGAGCGTCCATCCAGTTTTAAGTGGTTGAGCCTTAAAACAGCTTTCTCAGATGCAGGCGTCACTCTGGGGATTGTGCTGTTGCACGAAGCGGCTACTTCGGACTTAGAAGTGGGCAAGAGAAAAAGTAAGTAGCAAAATGCGGGCGCTAGCGTTGGTTTGTTTTCGCTTCTTCAGGGGCAGGCCACTTTCCCAGTGACCACACACCCCCATGCACACGGGAAAATTTAAAACGGGAAGTGACCCAGTGTCCACTTGCCATCTTTGACTGCTTGGTTTGGGCCTCAGTACTAGAGAATCGTACATTCAGGATAACATGTTGAGCCAAGGAGAGGATCAAGGTTTTAGAAATGGAGCCTGTCTGAAGCCTGCACTTTGCCCACGCCGGCTTTACTTGGCGTGTCTTCTACTGAATTTAAAACGAGGGAAGACACTGTGGAAAGGAGCAGACCGGAAGGCGTGTGACAATATTTTGATATGTGGGCATACATTTCCTATTGACGTTTATTTTGTCAAGTGCAGAACAGGGTTGCTGCCCTGTGTTATTTTAAAGAATGTCTTACCACCTTTTTAAAATATCCAGTAAATGCTTGCAAGTGTTCTGTCATTTAGCTGCCCTGTGTTATTTTAAAGAATGTCTTGCCACCTTTTTAAATATCCAGTAAACGCTTGCAAGTGTTCTGTCATTTATTTATTTATATTATTTTTATGCCACCTTTCTCCCCATAAGGGACCCAAGGTGGCTCACAATGCTAAAAGTATAAAACAATCGTTTTAACATACCATATAAATGCCATTTTTTAAAACAAACAATTAAACAGCTCATGTACTTCATTCGAATGGAGGAAGACCAATGGGCCCCCTTCTTTAAGTCCCCCCCCCACTTTCCTGTGGTTTCTTTGTTGGTTTGTGCTGGCTGACCATTTGTTCTGTGATTAAATTCCCTGCAGTCATTTGTATGGCCGGCATTGGTCTCGTGGTGCTCTTCTTCAGCTGGCTGCTCTCCATATTCCGTTCAAAATACCATGGCTATCCGTACAGGTATCCCTTTTCCTTCAATTAGTAGGTTTTTCATAGGATTCTGTAGCTTTTGCATGAGAATGTTTACAGAAGTGACTGAATAGGAATAGAATGCATAGCTCTGCGCCTGCACACTTATAATGAGGAGAGGCAATAGACGGATCCTGGAAAGATAATTAAAATTGGTGAAATAGCAGCATTCCGGGAAACACCCCCCCCTTTTTTTTCCCTTCCCTATTTCTTCTTTTCTGGCTTCCCCTTTTTTATTTATTATTATTTTTTTTTTTGCACAGCTCAAGTGAGGGAGCTGTGAAAATGGGTCTGCCACACACCTCTTTAATGCCATTCTCGCTGAAGACGACCAGTCCGTCGGCCCTGCCCCCACCTCCCATCCAGCACCCTGGGGCGCCACTAGCCTGGGATATGTTATGCCTAGTGTAGCCCCCTTCCTGCCAACTCAGCCCTCTTCCATACTTGTGGGGGGCAAATACTTCCTCTGCCACATTCCAAAATCTACCTTGTAGCAAAGGCATAGAAATCTTTTTATAAGCTTTCAAGGAAAGGTAAAACACTCATCTGGCCTGGGGTTACCAAAAAGAAAAAGAGAGAGGGTGTGTGTGTTTCGGCATTAGAGCCCCGTCCTCTCCAGGTCTTGTCAAGATGCAAAGAGGGAAATGTGGCAGCTGCTAAAGGAGGACTTCTCATCAGGTGTTAGGGTTTCCCCTAATTTTGCTGGGAACACCAAAGACCCTAAGAAGCAATAACCCTTAAATCTTAATTTTGAAAACACAGCAACACCTTGAAACCCTAATCTTTCTCTGCAAAGCATGAGGCTTTTGCTTCTTTCTTTCTTTCTTTCTTTCTTTCTTTCTTTCTTTCTTTCTTTCTTCCTTCCTTCCTTCCTTCCTTTCTCTCCTTTCTCTCCTTTCTCTCCTTTCCTTTCTTTCTCTCCTTTCCTTTCTTTCTCTCCTTCTTTCTCTCCTTCTTTCTTTACTCATTTACAGTATTCATTTAATTTTTAATTCCATCCATCTTGCTGAAGGCTGCTCTGGGTGGTCTGCAACCAACACGAACAGCATAATTAAAATACTATTTAACCAATTAAAAATAATAATAAAATAAAAATAAACAATGAAAACCATTAAAATCCATTTGCATAAAACATTTAAAATATAGTCCCTGGCAATTCCTGTACTGTGGGCACTGGAGATGACTGTAGTTGTGTTGTCAAAAGGGTTGAAGAGGGGACACTGCTTGCTTTGGTCATGATTTGATACACGATCTGTGTGTGTTCTTGTTTTATAGCTTCCTAATGAGTTAGAGGAGCTTGGAGCCATCCTGTTCCCATGGAGTGGATCAGAGGCATTAACCATGTGGATCACGCTACCTCTAATTCAAAATGAATGAAAATTGTTGCGCGCCAAACCAAAGACGTCTGAGTGCCTTGATGAAATAGACAAGTATGCCCTAAAAATCATGGGAAGTATTAAGACATATCTACATCCTCCGTTTACTTACAACCTAGCAATTTGGATTCTGGGCTTTTTGTGGTTGACTGGCCTAAAAGTTGCTGAAACTTAACTCTGCAGCCGCTCTTCAAAGAGCTTCCTTAGACACCAGTTGCCTGATGTTCCCTTGGGATCCGGCAGTGGCTTGCTGGGGTGGGGAAGGGTTAGCAATCTGGCCATCTGGAGGGTTCAGCACAGCCCTTTGGACTGTGGTTTGAATCGCTGGACTGCCTGACACTGCCTGTTTTTGATGCCGGAGAGGTCTCCGTTCTCTTCGCTTTTCTGGAGGTCTTTCCATGCCATGCAGAAAGTTACCTGGTTTCTATAGAAGCAGCCCCGATTTTATTCAAACCCGCTTAATTAGGGGGTTTATTCAATAATGCTTTCTGTTCAAAGAATACAGATAATGCAGGAATAACATTGCCATTTTTTGAGGCCATTTCTCTTGGCGTTAGCTTTCTAACCTACTGAAGAGAACTCTCCCCCAAATAACCTGTTACACTACTAGCACAACCTAATTTGCAGAAATTGATAGATCCCTGGAAAAGACCTTTATGTTGGGAAAGTGTGAAGGCAAGAGGAGAAGGGGACAACAGAGGATGAAATGGTTGGACAGGGTCATCAAAGCTACCAACATGACTTTGACCCAACTCCAAGAGGCAGTGGAAGACAGAAGGGCCTGGCGTGCTCTGGTCCATGGGGTCACAAAGAGTCAGACACAACTTAACGACAAAAATTGATAGCAAAAATATAATGTGGGCCTCTTACAGTTTCATTTCAAACAAAACCTAGCCCTGATTTGTGGTGGTTTGGGCTGTACTCCTGCCCATATTGGCCTGAAAAACTCACTGCCTCAATAGTGCCAGTTGCAGTGGAGTGAGGAATTCAATCACAGGACAGAACAGATGACCAGCACTTTTAGGACTTTTTGTGTGGCCTGCTTTTTAGGGGCAGTGGGGTTGTTTTATCTCTTCCGTGCCTTTGGGATGAGATTAATGGTCAGCCTGTAGAGACCCACATAGGAAGGTGGGGGGCAGGTGTAATTCTTACTTTGAGATTACAAATATTATAAATGTGGCTGTTTTCCACTTCAGTTGATGCTTCCTCGGGTGAGAAGCACATGCTGTTTCAACCCTTTCTCCCCTTATTCCATCCACACTGCTTGGTTTTCAGAACCTAGCTTGCGTAGGTTTGGGATCTGCATGACTAGGGAACTCCAGCTGCTTGACGTGGTTAAGTGTCTCTATCAAGGGAAGCCCAAGACTGCATTGAGTTGCCTGTGTGAATCAGGATGGATGCCTGTGGTGGCCCTGCAGGTGTTACTAAGCTGCGGATCCCATGATCCCACCCCATTGTCTGTTCTGGCAATGGCTAATTTGCGGCCAAATAGCCTCTGAATAACCAGCTATCCCGCCCCCCTCCTCCAAACAAAGAGGAAGAGAAATGTATTGTTTTTCCTTTGTGGTGAGGTGGGGACCGCATGGCAGTGTTCCTCATTAAAAGTGATGAGAGGCAACTACAGCTGTACTTGGTTAAGTAGTTTTCTCTTATGCAAGTGTGCTGTATTGAATTGCATTTCAAGTGCCTTAACACTGTTCATTTTTTTTTTTGGTATTGACTCCACAAATAGCCTAAAAGTATGTTTTGTACAGCTCTGAGCATCCAGTGGTAGCATGGATATTGGAATGGCTATTGTGGATTTTTGACAACTTGTAATAAATTCTTTACAAACCCTGCTGTTGTATTTTCAGTCCAACCATATCGAGGAGATGTCCTTCAAGGCTATAGTCCATCCAGAGTTTCTCCTGTGCAGGCTGCTCTGAAATAAATAGGGATAGTTGAAAATTTTATATTTTGATAGGTGGATTTCTAGAAGCGTTTGACTGAGAGGCGTATGCAAGAGAAACGAGGAACCAGAAACACCCAGATCCACAGCTGCAGCCCCCCTTCAGTTATTCCTCTTGCCTCCTGGACAGCTGTTCCAGACAGCGCACCTGAAGGGAGGTGTAGTTAGAACTGCACATGGTTTAATGTTTTGAACCCTACTTATATTCTCTCTTGTGCCTTTAAAATACAGTTCTCCATCCCCCTCCCAACAACTCAGAGGCACCAGAGTTTTTGCTTAGCATTCAGCCTGACTCCTGGGCACGGTGAAGTTTACACCTAGGCTTTCGGATCCACATTCAGCAGTTATCTCCTGCAAATCCAAACACTGGGGCTTTCTCTCCACCCGCTTTGGTAAAGGCTGTCAGCTGAATAATTGCAGTGAAATTAACGGCCGGTTGGTTGCCTTCTGCAAACAGCCTCTGGAATGCACCCTGGGATCATAGCTCCGCCTGCACGAGAGGCCTCTGGTCTGCGCTTTCCAAACTGCCTTTTTCCAGGAGACTCTTCTCTGCTGCAAAGGAGAGGTCTTTGAGCCCCATTATGCTTCGTGGGCTTTCTTCCCTGGCAGATAACCAAAGGCTTGTAGTGTCTAACTTGCATCCAAATTCGAGTCATTTGATCATTTATTGTAACAGATCATGAACTGGATGAGGTGCAATTTGAACGATGACTCAGTTTTGCTTTGTGGCATGGTTTGATTCGCCTTCCACTTCTATAAAGTTAGCCACGTTGTTGATGCTGCATACTGTCAAGTTGCATCGGAATGACCCCTAGTAGGGCTTTCAAGGTATGCGAGTTGTCCATTGAGTGGTTGACGGACCCCTTCCAAGGCCAAAGAGTGATTCCAGGGCGGGTCTCAGGGCCTGTGTATGATCGCTACATATTTAGGACTTTATTCATGGAAGGTGCGGTAGGTAGCCTTCAACATCGGCTGCCTGGAGGCTGATTTGGGCCATCAGAGATGACACGCAATTTGAGTGGCTGATGGGATCACAAGCTGTGGCACCTGTCCTTGCCTCGGGCAAGCAGCTGAGTCCCACAGCGCTCCTGGAAAAGGGGAAACGAGAAACCCCTTCTGAGTATGGCATCTCTAGGAAATTCTTGGGAGGGCTGCCCTGTGTTGGAAGGGGGTGTGCTCATTAATTCAGCACCTTTCCCAGACTCCGATGGTTGGTTCTTGATGTTCCTCTTCTTAATTGTAATTCCTATAATTCTCCTTCGAAAGGACACTGGCCTGTCCACCTCTAGCTTGAAAGGATGAGACCCTTGAGGGCCACCTTCTCCATTGGGAGGAACAGGGGGCGAGGGGACTGGAGACCCCACACACAAACACACACACACACACACAGAGCCTCCTGTAGGAGAGCAGAGCCGATGGGCACGGGCGCTTCCCTCCCGATGACGTCACGCGCGTCGGGCATGACGTTGGCTGACGCCAGTCCCTCCGGGCGCCCAATCGGGAGCGGAGGGGAGCGCGATGACGCCACCGGCCCTAGCAACAGCGCCGTCCGCGGCGGGCCAATGGGAAAAAGAGCCGCTGCCCGGCGGGAGCCAATGGGGCGGCGCGGAGCGGGCGAGGGCGGCGAAGGGGTCGACCACGCACTGCTTTATGGGTAAGTAAACGTTCCCGTGTGCCCTGGCCTTGGGAAGAAGATTGCTGACCACTGTGGAAAAAGTGGGGCATGGCCCTCAGAGGCTTACTGAAGCGCGGCTTTCCCGGGCCGGGGGGCGGCGGAACGGCGGCGGCCGAGACCATGACCGCGGAGCCCGCCAGGTAAGCGGGAGCGGCCCGGTTGGCCCTGGGCTGGGTCTTCCCCTCAGAAGGGGCGGCGGCGGCGGCGAAGGAGGAGGAGGAGGAGGAGACCGTGAGGGGGAAACCGGTCCGCCGGCCAAGGAAGGGGGCGTGAGAGGCCCGGCGCGGGTATTTCTGAGGGGTATCTGAGGAGACTTGGGGGGGAGGGGCCCATCGAGTCCCCCCCTCTCGCCCCTCGGCCTCGCCTCTCTTCTGCGCATGCTCGGTGGGAGGCCAGACCAAAAAGGGGGGGTGCTGCTGCTGCCTCTGCTCCCCCCCTCCTCCACCGTTGCGCCTCCAGGGCGCCCCCTGGTGTCAGGCGCCGGTTGCCTCCGGAGGGAGGGAGGGATGCGGGTCCGGTCCTTCCCTCCCCCGCCCGGAAAGGGACGCGTGTCTTTCTCTCCTTCCTCCCTCCTCAAAAGGGGTGGGCTGTTATATTTTTTTTCCCGTACACGCGATGGCCCTGCTCCCACGAGCCCCGAGGAGCGTGTCAGCTGTTTACACCGGGGCGTCACTTCCGTCGTGCCCTTCTCCTTCCCCAAAAAATAAAGCAGAGGCTCAGTTCGTGTGTTTTGGGAGGGCAAGGCAGAAAGAAGGATGGGAGCCCATGAGTCGCCCTGGGAAATGCCCCCTTCTCTCTTTTTTTGGTTTTATGTCTGTTTATTTTAAAGGATGCTTTCCAAAAGGTAGCTGAGAAGCAGGGCGTCTGCATCCTAAGGCTAGGTTCTTTCTTGTACATTGCACAACCCTGGTGTGGTGTGTGTGTGTGTGTGTGTTTAAGATCGGGTCATCTTTGTCTATATTTTGCAGTGAGGGAAAAGTTGCCACAATGGACAGCGAGGTTTTCATCTAGACTTTCATTGAGACACCCCAGTTATTGGAACTGAGCCATCTATCCCTCTTGTTAAGAAATTCCTCTCAGGAGGTCTGTTCTCCTTATCCTGCACTTAGCAATCCTTTTTTTCCCCCCACCAAGGGTAAATAAACTTTTGGGGGATCTGATCATTAAACTCTCCTGTTAGTTTGGTGGATGTTGAAAATGGCGGAAAAGTTATCTTTCAAGGAATGTGTGCTGGTCAGGTTATGTTAATTTAAGGATAAAATGTGAGCAGACTGTTCTCCATTGGCTTCCATATGTCAGTGAATCTTAACCCATTTGTGGTCAAAGGTGTAGTTCTGTGAAGCATTTTCCACCTGGGGGATTTTCCTGGGAAGGTTTAGGCCCCAGGCAGAGCAATATTGACCTTCAGCTTATTTCATGCAGATTCAGGAAAAATTAAGGAAACAATAAGTATGGTTGTTACATTGTAGAACAATGTAATTTTGTAGTTGTATGTTATTTTTATATATATATTTTCCACGTGTTCATTACAAAATAAACACTAACATAGGTTCGGGTGTTTGTTACTTTTAGTGATGGAATTGTATATTTAGCTGCCAGTTGAACCGAATGTTGGCTGCTCTACAGAGAAAGAAGGCCTCATAAGTTTCTTTGATTCAGTGGGCCTACTCTAGTTGCACCTTAGCATGCTGAGCAATAAGATTTCAGCCATTGTATATTTCATTACATCTATTTTTAGTCATGAAGCAGAAAATTAGAGGAAACGGTTAAATGTTTATTGAAAGTTGAATGTTGCCTTTTGCGAGATGGTTGTTTCTGCAATTAGTTGCCATTTTTAAAGGAAACAAATGTTATGTCAAAAGGTTTTAGACTCTTTTGCCACAACCACTAGAAATTTGACTCTGTTTCCTATTGCATTCACTGCCTGGTTAGTGGCCCTGTTGATTCTTGGGAGCAAGACTTTTTCCCTATTTTTAAATAGAGTAGCAGTTTGATAACAAGTGTGCTGTAAGGTTGCTAGTGCCACTTCTAAGAGGACTTGAGGAAAACTAACTGTGTCTCTGATGCTTTGCATTTGCTTGGTCCTTTTGCACTTTCAGCTTGGCGTTGCCACATCACCTCTCTCAAGTGCTGTGGAACAGGTTGATCCCAGGAAAGAAGAACTTCTTGACTGTGTTCTTCCATTCCTTTTTGTCCTTCATAATTAAAGCAATGTTATCTTCTTGAACCTTTCAGCCTTGTCAGCAGAACTCTGGGTAGTTAACATAAATTGAATAAACAGAGGGGAAAGGAAGGTGCATCAGACAAATTCTTTGGACCCTACTAAGTTTGTGAAGTGCATCTATGGTTTTTCTTTAGAAGTTCTGCACTTTGTTTATGGGCTTTGTTCCTTTTGCTTCCAGAGTTGTCTCTTGTTAAGCAACAGTGGAAGCTGGTGATCGGACAGTAAGTGGTGTGAAAGAGGGTAAGAGTGGCTAATTGCCATCATCTGCTTGGTTGAATGTCACATGTGTTATTGTAAAATAGTAATATTTCTCGTATGGTGTCATACAGTACTTTAGAACCTTAAACATTTTCCTAAGAACTTTACTTTTGTTTAGCAATTGTTGAAGTTGTTGACCAGGGGGCATATTACATACTGTACAGTGTTTTCCAAAAGAAAATGTTGGAAAGATGCTGCAATATCACATCTGCATTTGCATAAATGGGTTGCTACTTAATTTTTCACACCATCAGTTCTAAAGAAAATGAGAAGACTTTGTCTAATAGTTTGCATAGAAAAATGACTGTTTTGTGCCTCTTCTTTTATTTTGACACCACTTCGGTTGCATATGAGAAACGGATTCACGTATAACTTGTATTTTTCATTTCTGATATGATTATTCATATAAATGTTCTTGTTCGGTGTCATAAAACACTCTAAAACAAATTAATAAATGTTGTTTAAAAGTGAACAGACCTTAAATATGTTTGTCCTAAAATAGTCCTCAACATTATTTACCTTTAAGCTCATAATTCTCTTACTATCACTATACAAACCAACACATGAATATGTTGGATTCTCTACAAAGCAGACTTCCTTTTTAGTGTTACATGTTTTGCATTTTTTTTTCTGGACAAAACATTAGTGACTGAAGCGCTACAGGTGCACTTGTAAGGTTTATATAACTTGCTGTAGCTAATTGTGGGAAATTGATGAGGTACCAGGGTGCATCTCAGTTTCATAGTTGGACATGTGTTATGCACATAATTGAAGCATGCTGCAACTTTACTTACTATGCTAAAGTCACAGAATAGACCAATTTGAATCAGTGGAACTTGAAGAGGGGTTCACTCACCCAGTGGCCGTACTGTAGTCTGATTTGCTACGATATGCAACAGAATTTTGACCATTGACACAGTTGTTAAATGCATGAATACTTTTATGTTTGGCCCTTTAGAACTCCCACTTCTTGTACAGAAATATTACCATGGTAAATCCATGTTGAATAATGGCATAATGTATAGACATAGATGGGTCTTGATAGGGGTTGTAAATACTTTGCCCATAAAGATAAGTGAGATTTGCAGGGCATTCTCTTAATGAACATCGTGCTTACACATACTGTCTGTTTCACTGTGCAGATCAAGGAATAAGGATGCAACCTGTACTAGATGGGGATACACTTCCCCTGAAAACACAGGTGTGCAGCTTGGGGATGCTCCTGGATTCATCTCTGAGCCTGGATGGCCAGGTTTTGGCAGTGGCCAGGAATGCATTTGCACATTTAAATGCCAGCTACATCATTTCTGGAGAGATGTGATCTGGTGACAGTCATATACACTCTAATTACTTCCCAGATGGATTACTGTAACTTGCTTTATGTGGGCCTGCCCATGGAAAGTGTCAGGAAACATCAGCAGGTCCAAAATGCAGCAGCCAGATTGCTGACTTGGACTGGTTACAGGGACCACATAACCCTCCTACTACAGCAACTCCACTGGCTTCCAATCGCTTTCTGGGCACAATTCAAAGTGCTGGTCTTAATCTAAAAAGCCTTAAATGACTTGAACTCAAGCTATCTCAAGGACTGTACCTCCCATTATGAGCCCACTTGGGTTTTAAAATCATCAGGGGAGGCCTTTCTCTTCAGCCCCCCACCCTTTACAGACACATTTGGTGGAGACACAAGAGAGGGCCTTCTCTGTGTTTGTTCCCAGACAGACACAGAGAAGGCCCTCTCTTGTGGGCCTCCCACGGGAAGCCAGGCTGGCTCCATCTTTGCTGTCCTTCTGCAAACAGACAAAGACCTTTCTCTTCAGCTTACTGGTCTTTGACCATAATAAAGTTATTACTACTGCTACCTTTCTCTTCAGGCAATCTTTATTGACTGTCTGCATGAGTGACTGGCCACACAGCTGGTTACATGAGTAAATTCAGATGGATTGTTATGCTTTACTGTTCTGATGGTGTCTTGAGTACAACATGTGTTTACCATCTCTCAGAGTGGCATTTGCTTGTTCCTTTTTAATATCTGCATATTGTTTTAGTTTTAATACTGAATTTTAATTATATAAGCTGCCTCTTTATACACATTGTTTTCAGCTTTAAATAATGTTTTTCAAGTATATATATACTCACACACACTAATCCCAGAGTTTCTTGGTATGGCCAGAAGAATTCCCTGTTCATCATTCTGGACCAACGTTCCCTCTAAAGTGCTCACACAGAGCTCCATCGGCACTGCACAGCAGCAGTAGCCAGGGTCAATACTGTACCTGCTTACTTCCGGGTTTCAGATGAAACCCCGCCCCCCACGTGCCGATGGGTGAGGCTCCCACGCAGCAGGGATGACAATTCGAGGGAATGTTGGTCTGAATTGATTATGGGATGTGTTCTTGGCTCATGATGCTAGACTTGCTTGAGAGTGACAAGCCAGTAATCTTGGCTTCAGCTGTTACACCAAACCTTTACCTCTGGAGGACTTCCCTTCTTAGTTTAGCTACTCTAGATGGCAGAAGATGTCAAGTGAGAATGATCAGACAGCATATGTTACCATGCTACTCATAAACACACAAGAATTTACAGCCGTTCTGGCTTATCCTTACTTGCACACCAGGTCAGTGTGCATTGTAGTGTCTCATGGCTTGGTGTCTCATGGCTTGTGTGCAGTGTTAAGGCTTGCATAATGTAAAGTTTACAGATTGACCAACACCTGAATTTGGTTTGGAAATATAATATGAGTAAAGTTGTTGCATATGATGCTAAGAAACTCTCCCAAAGAAGTAATAATTCACTATGGCTATAGGGGAGGGGGGTGAGGCTTTTTGTTTAAGAATTAAGAATGTTTAAATCTCTTGTTACTTTTGAGGATATGGTTTTGCCCTGAGTGGCACGTGTTTTGCACTTTAGGACTTTGTGGGGATGTTGACCCTTCTTCCAGCAATGCTCCTTGAGATGTCTTACTGTTACAGAGGCTTGGGGGAAGGTTTTTATCTGCCTCTGGCTAAACAACTGTAATCCTAGAGAGAAGGCAGAACAAGGAGATTGGAAAGACAAGTTGGGGAGCAAAAGGTAACATGGTCACATCAGTTAATGGGGTTTGGGCCAGATGATGTTTAGTGAGATGACAGGGAAGCATTTGGGGAAAATGGTGGCTAGGAAGCTGTAGAGGTGCAGAAAGAAGAGGGGAAATCCATGCTTGGATTAGAAATCTGTAGCCATGTCTTCAGCTTTAAAACTAACAAAATTCAGTCCCATAATTAAAAAAAATTAAAAAAAACTCAGTACTTTTGAAGTTACATTCTTCTAATACGTATGGTATGGATTTGTGCTCTGAAGTTAAGAAAGGGTGCAATCTTCCATTTTAAATAATATTTTCAGTTTTTATTGGACTTTGGCAAACACAGCACAACTGATCGTGTAATGGTGCTTCAAACTTGACTTGATTATTTGTGGCTTTGTGTCCTTCAATTTACAAAGAACAAGTTGTTCAGAATTTTCAGCCTTCCAGCAACATTGTGAAGGCAAAGAGATAGTGACATACCCAAGGCTACCCTCTGAACTGGGAGGAAACTTTGCTGTGATCAAGGGCTGTAACAATTGCAACATACCAACTCTGGTTTGGTTTTGCTTATTAACTGCGGATTCTGTAATCTGTTTAGGAATATATTACGCCATTGTATGTATTTGAGTCTGTGAATCTTATATACCTTGGGTGCTAGAGCTTCCTAATCTATTCCTATTTATTGGCAACGTACTAATAGTTATCCATTCCAAAGCCATGCAGAAAACAATTCTGTAGCAAACTCTTTAAAAATAATGCAGTAATATGCATAATGTTCGAAACAAATTCCAGACTTATTCTGCTTCACTCTGATGTGTCTTTTTAAAATGGTTTTTTAAAATTAATAAATTATGTTGAGATGTTCCCTGGTACAGGGTGCATTTTATTATGGAGGAGGTTAGTATAATTTTGGGATTTTTAGGTGTGGGTATGTGCAAAATGTTGTAGAATCTGGGGGGGAGGAGGGATAATAGGGTCTGGAAAAAGGCTCTTACAAGATTACATCCCACCCAACATTTACAGCAGAGGTGGAGAAAAGATCATGCTTACCTCAAAACTCCAGCAGCTCTGACAAGCATGGCTGCTGATCAAGGATTATTGATTTACAGCCTGCCATCATCTGGAGGCCTATGTTGCCTCCATCGCAGGTCTATGGCTTTGTTCAAATCATGGTTTGTATTAATCATAGTTTAGATTGTCAAACCACAGTTAGAGGCTGTATATTAGTACCACTTGTTGCTCTCACACATGTTGCTTGGTTGGTATCACAGGGTCTACAAGTGAAGTTTCGCTTGGTGCAACCAACTCACTTTCAGATGTTTCTGGTATCTATAATATTGAACCTGCTCTGGCAGCAGTGACCCTTCTGATGTGGAATGTGCAAACCTGGGTCACCCTCACTGGATTTCCTCCATGGTGTTCATGACACATTTATTTCAGAGAGCTTCTGTATGAATTAGTATTCTTAAAAGCCACATAGCTCTTGATTTTAACAGATCTCTGTGAGCATCAATGTGTTTATAAGATGACTTCATAGGCTGTACTTGTTCTCCTTAGATATATATTTCATTTAACCAGCTTGGGCGTATTGCCTTGAAGTGGTTTAGAAACTTGTTGCAGTGGTGCCTTGACGTACGAACTTAACTTGTTCCGGAACTCTGGTCGTAATTCGAAGCACCATTTCCCATAAGAATACATTGAAATGCAATTAATCCGTTCTGGCTGAAGAAGAAAAAATACCGTATTTGCCGATGTATAAGGTGACTGGGTGTATAAGACCACCCCCCCAACATTCCCATTCAGAATGTAGAGTTTGTTATATACTTGCTGTATAAGACTACCCCCTCTTCCGCATGCGTGATTCTGCTTTGGCTGCATCATGGGGAGAGTTCCTTTTGCCCCTTTTCGTTCCTTTTCGGAAAGAGCTAGGGTTTGGTGGAAGAAGGAACAGCAGAGAGGTGGCAGCCATTTTGGAGAGGTGGCAGCCATTTTGAGAGGCAGCAGCCATGTGGTCGCATCTCAAAATGGCTGCCGCCTCTCTGCTGTTCCGACAGTCAGCTGTTCAGTGCTAGAGTCAGGCTGTTCCCAGGCTAGGAGCGGGGCTCTACTCGGTCTTACTACCAGGTAAGTGACTTCACTGGGAGAGAGGGAGGGTTTGCTGGACATGCACCCGGCGTACAAGACGACTCCCCCCACTTGGAGGCATATTTTTCAGGGCCAAAAAGTCGTCTTGTATGCCGGCAAATACGGTAACCAAAAAAAACCCAACAACCACTGCATGACCCATCGGAAACGCAATTAATCCATTCCGGCCGAAGGGGGAAAAATGAAGAGCAAAGGAAACAAACCATGCAAGACCCATCGGAAATGCAAAAAAAGCAGAGCAGTTAGCAAACAAACCATGCAAGACCCATCGGAAATGCAAAAAAACAAAGCAGAAAGGAAACAAACAGTGCAAAACCCATTGGAAATGCAAAAAAAAAACCCAAAGCAGAAAGCAAACAAACCGTGCAAGACCCATTAGGAATGCAAACAAGGCAAAGCAAAACGCAAACAAACCCCACAAGACCCATCGGAAATGGGAGGGGGAATCCAAAAAAACAAACCAACCCCACAAGACCCATCACAGTATAGAAACATAATCCCACCACGCAGCCCAAAACTACGCTGCAAAACCCTCCCAGAAGAGTTTTTAAAAAGCAGAAAGCAGCACCTTACCTTACCAGGCAGTCCGAAGCCTCCTCCAATCACACACCCTCTAACTTCTGGAGCGAGAGAGCTACAAAGAAGCAGCATCTTCGCCAACAAACGGTTAGCAATTTGAATTCCCCACCTGCGTTTTTCTGTTCGTAACTGGAAGCTCTGGCCGCAAATTGAAGCAAAATTTTGCGGCCAGAGCTGGTCTTAACTCAAAATGGTCGTATGTCGGGACGTTCGTTGAGGCACCACTGTATATGTTCCATCCTTTTAAGTTGCCTTTTTTTAAACAGTCGGGGACCCTCTTGAGTATTGACTGTATTGATAGTGATAGAAGGCAAAATTGTGTTGAACTCATGTTGATTTTTCTAAGATCAATGTTCCTGAAATTGGAACAAAGGCCTCTGCTTGATGCTCAGAACTGTGGATGTGAATGTTAACAAACCCTCTGTAATAATTATTCTTTCTCCTCACCTGGCTAGGTGTAGGTAGAAGTGTTAGTTCTCTCATCAGTCCACTTGGCTTTAGAGTCATTCCAGCCGTGCCTTGAAATCAACCTGATGGCAAGTCAACGTGAAGGGATGTATCTGGGCCTTAATGGGATCATCTTAACTATGGGTCTTGAAGGGGAATCAGATCATAAAGGCTGTGCTAGTATATCCCACAGACTGATTTGAGTTCTGTAGTATTAAGGGACTCGGCTTAAAATACAGAAGTCTGAAAGGTATTCCCTGAGCCTGCTACCTGTTCTGAGCAGGGAACGTTTGGTGGCATAATTAAGAAGGTCTGTGAAACTGTTGAGTGGACCCTCTGTAATAACTTTCATCAGAAAGTTATATGGTTGGAGTGTAAGGACTATAATCCAGGAGGGATGTAAATCAAGCAACCGTTTTCATAACGTTGCCAGATGTAGATCCCATAGGGATTGGGACCAGCAGTGGTGGTTTTTGGATATCAAAGGCTCTGTCTCAGACCCTGGGGTGAGTAGGTAGAATAGGAAACTGAAAAATTAAAGATTAAAGTCTGCCTCTGATGACATCTTCAGCCTTTGGTTGCTCAGAGTTGCACAGCAGGATTCTAGCCAGGGTCTGTTGTCTGGTGCACCTTGTGAATTAAACAATTCTTTGGTAATTTTTGATGTTGCTCACCTGAGTTCATTTAGCCAGACTCCAAGTGACCTTGTGATTTGTCAGGATGATTATGTGTGCATAATATTTCAAGAAGAATAGATACAAAGAGGAGTATATGAGACCCAGTCAAGCATGTAGACCTTGGAGGATAGCACAGCAGAACATGTCTTTTACTCCCCCGTATACCTTTTTCAGTCAGAGGAAAATCTGCGAACAGGTATACAGACTGCTGTTTAGGGACCTTGGAACAGTTAGACTTTACATATGTCATTGCATGAAACAAAGTCTATAAGTGACATTAACATATTTATTCATATGGTGAATCTGTTTTTAAACAGTGAAAGTAAGTTAAATACACTGGTGCAGAAGCTTCATGACTTCTTGGCACACTCATCAGAAGATTCTGAGGACGCAAATTCTCCAAGATTATCTGTGAGCAAAAATACAGGTAAAGTGCCTTATTATTATAAACTTGCTCAGATCTGTGTGTCTCAATAGCTAAATTTGCCATGCCTTGTAGCGGAATAGTTTAGGAATGGAATCATGAAATAACGTTCATCCTGTCTTCTTAAAATTTTAAAATTTCTTCTTAAAAAGACAAAACCCTTTATCCACAGTCCAACAATCTTGTCTGTCGAGGACACATTAAAGTGTAAATTGCCCTATTATTTCCCTGTTCAGTTCATCCCAGGGGCTGTGCTGTTGAAGTAAGCAGGGCCTCTTGCTCATAGCTGTGTTTCCACGTGCACCGAGGTGCATGTGAATGAAAACGCATCGTATCAGAATTACATGAGAGGAGTACCTATTGTTCCAATGAGAAAAAATGTAATGGACAAAAGATTACAGCTTTCGGGAATATTTTGATATGGTTGATGGCTTGTAGTCTATGGATACCTCCATCACCTCTTATACAATCCATGTTGACCAGAATCCTGTTCCTGGCTTATACTTGCATAATGGAAATTGTGTGTGGCCTTGATGGCGAATTGTTGCTAATTAACAAGGTGTTGACAGTATTGCTGGGTATGTGATGCCAGGAATGCCACCAGCACCTTGTTAACAAGTATCAGGGAGCTTTCAACATAGTTTATGCAGTTACACTTATGTAACAGTAAATCAGCAGTATGTATCTTGCCACTGTGTTATTGAAGATTACAGTGGTGCCTCGCAAGACTGTTAATTCGTTTAGCGAAAATCGCTGTCTTGTGAAAAATCATCTTGCGAAATGTGGTTCCCCATTGGGATGCATTGGAATCCATTTAATGCGTTCCAGTAGGGAAAAATCTTTGTCATTTTGCGAAAATCGCCCATAGAGAAACCATTTTGCAAAGCGCAGATCAGCTGTAAAAATTGCTGTCTTGCGAAAACCAGTCCCGAAAACACCCGTTTTGCGAGTCGCGGACTCAGCTGTCAAAATCATCTTGCGAAAATCAGTCCCAAAAAATTCTTGCAAAGCACGGTCCGAAACATCATCCAGCGAAAATCGCCCATAGGAAACACTGTTTTGCGAAGCGCTATAGCGATTGCAAAAACTCATCATCTAGCAAATTAACCGTTTTGCGAGGTAATCGTCTAGCAGAGCACCACTGTATATTCAGTCTTAGGCACATGTACTTGGAATTCAGGTCTATTCTGTTTTCTGATATTTACCTCCTTGAACATTTGCATTTATACTGAACAGTCTTCAGAAGTTTTATATGTGGATATTTTCCATTTTCTTTTTTACAGATAATAGTACTATGCCTGGAAATATCCCAGTCCCAATAGAAAACAGCAAAGAGGAGGTAAGAACAGAATGCTGAACGAATGTGTATAAGAATGTAGTGACAATTAACTTGGATTGATATTTTCACAATGTTATGTGTTACATAGAATTACTATGGACCCCATTTTTAGAAGTGATCTTAGAATATTATAAGATCGCAGGACAGGGGTCCTTTGCAAACTGATAAACCACTGCTAACAACCAACCAGTTGCAAGACATGGAAACTTTCGTTTGCTCTCTGAGTGCCTGTGCATGTTTTATTTTGGATATATATGTGTATGTTTGTTAAGAAGGACTTGAGGTTTAAGCATGCTGTGTAACTTAGATTGAGAATATGTTTTCCAAATCAAGTCTGTGGCTGAAATCCTGTTGCAGAGCTCCACATGTGTAATGGGGAGATGTCATCAGAAGAGGTAAATCACCACAGATTAAAGACTTCCTTTGGTGATTTTGGGTTATGGTGCCTTCTGTGCACACTCCAGAATCACCTTCAGTCAGCCACTATTCACAACTGCTGCTGACATCATTCCTGTTGTTACCTATGCAGCAGGATGTTAGCCTATATTTGTGCAAAATACTTGATTAGGTTCATACACAGGTTTCCTGTTTCAGCCATGTATGATTCATGTCTGACCAAGAAGTTTACCAATGTAGATGATGTTACGCCTAGTGTTAACATTCTGATGTAGTATTTTAAACACTCCACAGTTTTTGGTAGTTGCTGTTCTGTTAAAGTAGTTGCCAAAATATGTACGTTTGCACAAACACTTATCTCCTAGTCCTAGAAATGAATTATAAGTCTAAAATGAAAAAAGAGTGGAGTTATCCTTATTGATTTGCAACTCAAGATTGATAGTATTTTGTTTCTGCATAAAATGCTTGCAAGTTTGCCTTTTCCCCCCATTAGGGTAGCAGTTCTTCTGAAAAATCCAAATCATTAGGATCATCACGTTCTAAAAGGTTAGTGCACTGTCCTTGTTTACCTGTTTCAGTGTTTTGATTAAGCCACTCAGATATCAACATGCCTATTGGACTTTATAATGAGAAGGGGTACAGCGTTACTGGCTAGGAATTCTCTGGGTAGCAGACAGACAAAAAACATTTCCAGGTTCTGCAGTGAATATTTTGATGGTTTTAATGGAGAGTTACGGGTTGTGGGTTTTCCCCCCATTCTTTTCCAACTAGTTGATGTTATTTAATTTAGAGGATAGATCCATAAAGCATTGAAGAATAGGAAAATGTGATTATCCTCAATGGTAGCAGCTAAATAAATCCCTAATATTTATGAAATGGGTTGTTACATTGACAGTGCATTGTTCAGAGTGCTCAGTGGAACTAACACTAAATGAGCTTTATCTTACTCTTCTTCACAGCCTGAACTAGATTTTCTTGTATGAAATGGTGATGTTTTAATTAGCAAAGGAATTGGGCAAGATAAAGGAATATGAAAATAAAATATACAGAATCATATACTTTAGTAAAGGTTTTCGGAATATATATCTTCTCGGTGTTATGGATAACAGTATTTGTTGTTCATGCAGGAAACCCACTGTTGTGACAAAATACGTTGGCTCAGATGATGAACCGGCATTAGATGAGACTATGAATCAAGATGGTTCGAATGAAAACTCAGAAAATGAAGTTGATATGAAGTGTTTGCCTAAAGGTAAATAATTGACAGGTTCCCACTACCATGTGACTAGGGTCCATTAAAATCTAGCAACCCAGATACACTAATTTGTTTTAAGTCAAAATGGAATTCATAGTTCCCCTGTATAAATGAACCAGAGCAAACCCTTGTGAGGTTCTGTATGAGGATATAGGGTAGCTTTGTCATTCCCACCCCTACAACTTTGTTCCTTTTTGCAACCTTCTGACTTAGTTAATATTTACAATCTTAAGCAAATTGAACTGATTTAAATTGAAAGTTCTGATATTTTTAAAGTTCCTTTTAAAAAATCACCCAGGGTGTTGCCATCTAGATATCTGTTTGCAGGACTAGCCTTTGAGCCAGATGCAACCAGCAACATTTTTCTTGGTTACCTAGCAGACTTAGAGAGAGAGAGTGAGTGAGTGAGTGCGTGCATGCATGCGTGCGTGCGTTGTCTTTACTGTTGGAGGGAGACAAATTGACCATCCTTGAAATTCCTGTTAGATGCCTACTGCTATGTTTTTATACTGCTGTTCTGCATTTAATTAACTGTCCTCTCTTTAGGTACAGTAGTTGTTCAGCCAGAACCAGTACTTAATGAAGATAAAGATGGCTTTAAAGGACCCGAATTTAGGAACAGAAATACTACTAAAATAAAACCTGAAACTCAAAAGAAGCGTGGAGGTAAACGCATGATGAATTAAGTTCAGTGACAAATTTAAATTATTCCATTTTATTGACTAAACTGTGTTATCTGTTGGTTCCCGAAATGTCTCTTCCTTGAAGACATTCTGCTTATTAAGAGAATTATATTGAGACAAGTAATCTTTACTGCTTTCTCTGCATCTAGAGGCAATGCATACTTAGAGAATTCTGTATCGTTTAGGAACTTGGTGGAGAGCATCTTCTTTGGGCTGTCCAATTAAATGTTTTAGCAGCGAACTTGGGGCAGACAGAAATAGTTGTTCTCTCTTCTTTGTAGCAATAAAAGAATCAAATGCTCACTTCATATGAGCTTGGATGGATGACAGATGGCTGTTGATTTCTTCAAAACTTAAAAAAAAAACAGTTGTGGCTTAGTACTTGTTTAAGTGAAGAAGAAAAGGAAACTTGCTGGTGAATCAGTTCTAGCCATTGCATGTACAACGTCTTACTGCAATTCATCTGAATTGCCCCATTTTCTACAGTGGTTTTGGTGACTGAGGTTGCTGATGCATCCTAATCAAAGAGCCTTCAAAGTCGTGGCATTTCAGGCTCTCTAATAGTGGCACAGACCTGCCCTCACGGTTTAAAGTAACAATGGAAAGGTGGCCGCTTGGCATATTTTCAGTTGAGTCCTTCACTTAATTGCCAAGCCTCAGAGGCAGCCTTAGCTCCAGGGCCAAATCCATGTTCAACATGTGTTTTGTTTTTGTTTTTAACACTGCAGTCACAAATCAAGATTTTTGCAGTAGGAATTGTACTATTATTGCAGCAGAATTTTATGCTAACAAAGTCAGAATGAAAACCTAGATCTTTAAAAAAAGGTGTCGTGTCTTTGGGTGGTACTTAGCTAGCAGACAGGAAGGAATCTTGTGGGACCTTTAAGACCAACACATTTTATTTTGCATGGATATTTGTAAATATGGAATGCCTCTTCAGAACAGTATGCCCACTGCCTCTGATTATAGGCTGGAACAGAATGAAATGAGCTATAGGAAATGACCATTGGCTTATGAACAGTGTGGAGGATAAAATACGTTGAGAATCACTTTCTGCGGTGAAAAACTGATAGAATTCTTCTTCTTCTTTTAAACAGAAGAAGGGCTCCATGGGATCGTGAGCTGTACCGCTTGCGGTCAGCAGGTGAACCATTTTCAAAAGGATTCGATCTACAGGCACCCCTCCTTAAAAGTACTTATTTGTAAGGTACGTAAATGTCCCATGTATGTTTGTGCCTAGCTGTTGTCAGCGTGCTGCCCTGCAATCTTTTTCCGCAGCATTCAGCTGTTTAAGCCCCTTTTCTGAATCTGGTTAGGGTTTGAAGTATTCTGTGGGCACAGGTCTCCACTGCGATGGCCTTTGTAAGCCCATTCGGATGAACGCGCTTGCAGTGTTTCTGTGAATAGGAGCCCTACTTTATCCGAACTTCCAGTCGTGGGAACGTTGTGAAGTGCAGTCAACAGAACATGTCTCCCGAGGCTTTGGGAGACCTTTGCTGTGAAGCTGTAAAAGTCTGCCTGTGTTCCAGATGGAGTAGGTGGGGGGTGGAGTGAGGCTGATGTGGGCCTGCCATCCCTGCCCCGTCTCAAGCCTTCTCTTGAGTCAGGCTGTAATTCCTGAATAGTGTTATATTCCTTTAAAGACATGGAAGCACCTTTTGGCATTCCCCGTTGACAGAGGAACCCCCTGCTGGGTTCGTTCTCACATTGTTCCCTTTAACTCATAACAAGTGCTTTACAGCCTCTTAACTCAAGAGGGAAAGGGCTGTACTTGCAGACCTTGGGATGTTGGTGCTGTGTGAGGGAGGTGCTTTGTTCATACAGAATATTGGGCCATCTGTGAACAAAATGCATCACGGGCACATGCACCAAATCCCAGTGTTGGCATCTAGTACAGGAAAGGAATGCCTCTTCTGCATCGCTCATGTGACTCACCCCGGTAGTTCCTTAGGGATTATTTGCTGATTTGCAGATCTTTTCTCAGGACCTGCACTCTCAGCCCATGTTCAGAATCAGGCCATTGATTTTCATTAAATGTCTGGATATTTTTAATGAAACATGATAGCTGAAACATAAGACAGGCATCCTGGGCAATTTTCTAGTTTTTCGTCTAGTCTGTTTGTCACATGGAAGGGATCCTGAGCCTGGCTCTTTAGGCAAGCCTTCCCTTCTGTCAATTCTTGAATTCTGTTTTCTTGTTTTCTTTCATTCCCCATCTTGAATATACCATATTATTGATTCAGTTGTTTAATGTTTATAATGTTTTTATGATATTTGTAAGCCGCCCCGAGTAGGTGCTGTCTAGGGGGCAGGGTAGAAATCTAATAAATAAATAAAATAATTGAAATCAGGGGGAGAAAAGGTTGGGAAGAGATGAGGTCTTACAATGTTTTGTAGTAGGCAAAGCATATATTCCTTTAATACCGAGTTGAGGGCAGTCACACTGTTTCAAGAGCGTGTATAATGTATATCCAGCTAATGGGGTTTAAGAAAGGTGTCAAAAATTGCCTTCTTTTTTTTCCTAGACTTGCTTCAAATATTACATGAGTGATGATATCAGCCGAGACGTGGATGGAATGGACGAACAGTGTAGGTAGGTGTATAAACAAGTCCTCTGTGTAGTCAAATTTAGTAGATTTAATGGGATCTTATGTGGACAGATTGTGATCCATGTGGAGGAACACTTTCTTCTCATGACCTGCTGGCATGTAAAGGGCTGGTTCCTACTTAGGGATCCACTGGAACCGTGACTTGACATGAATGAGCAAGTTACTGGGGCTCACTGGTTGTTCACTCCAGCTTTCAGGAGGAACGGCGAAATAAATGAGTAGATTATATAGTCCGGCCGTCGGCAGCTTCTCTTCTGTGATTTGTTTCTTCCAAACTAACCAGAAGTCTAAACTAGGGCTTGGTCTCAATTTGATTTTGTGAGTGAGTGGAGGCTAGAGAAAGGAAAGTGCTGATGTCCCGGTAAACTTAAGTATAGAACAGAAATTCTGTTCAGTTTGCTTAGCTGCTTCCACTGCGAGCAGGAGGGATGGAATGGCGTGCACCCGAATTCTGCTAGTTCTTACACTCAAAGTGTAAATCCCAGGTACACAGAAGTACTCCTAGTTCTTTTCACCTTGGATTCTGTTTTTCAGATATCATTCCCCCTGCCCCCATAACCACATGACAAGCTGTCATTTTAAAACAGGTGGGAGGTTGCTTTTAATGCGGTAGGACAGAGGTCAAAGCCTCAAGGTGGGCGATAGCTTTATTAGACTGCTTTTTAAAATAAAATCAAAAGCAGAAGCTTGCTTTTGGTCCCGTACAAGTTTTCGTCAAGCTGGGTACCAAGAGCTGTGGGTGGTCCAGGGGGGAAAGAAAAAAAAGAAAAGAAAAATTTAAAAAACCTGGGCCAGATGCATGTGTGTGTTTCCTGCTCTATCCATAGTGGTGGGGTAGCCAGCTTTATGAAGACCTGTATGGAGTCAATAGCTAGCCTCTTTTTATGAATTTTTATTTTTAGTGATTGAATAAGAGGTCCACTTCCCTTGCCTTCAGATTGTGTACAAGGAAAACATGGCTTTTTCCCCCTCTTATATTTTCTTTTCTTTTTCTTTTCATGTGCTCCCCCTCCCCTCAAGGCTGTTTTTTGTAAATCCTAGCCCTGTTGGGATCCTGCCTTTTGTGCAGAAAACAACAAATTGCTATTTCTGAGAGGCGATTCCCCTTCTGCATAGATCATTAGATCAACAAATACCAGATTTTTCAAAATCGGGAGTAGACTTAAGTCCCGTCTAGTTTCCTTGTTTCGTTTATTTGCTTCTGCATTTCTTGTGGTCTATGTGGTCTCAGGAGACTGACATGGGCATACATTTTGTCTCCCCCACTCCCATCTAACAAAACTGCCCACCTGTTATAAGACCTTCAGCATCCTGAGGTGGCTGCATTCGTAACACTCCCCTAAGGAGGTCCTTACAAGAACAGCACTGATCATGCAGTTTTTGGTGTAGTCCAGTCAAAAGTCTACTCTGTCATGTTCAAGCATATAATGTGTGTCATGTTTGCAGCCTAAATATACTGTCTGCTGTTCTCCGTCTAGTTGATGAGAGGGGCAGTATATGTTGCAGCCCTTAAGCTTCTTATATACTGTGCAGAATACTGATGTAATCAGTAAACAGACTTTGGAGGGTAGAAGTGTATGTAGTAGAAATCGCCATAACCTGCTTGTAGCAACACATTCTTTAAAAAATGTTCTAATTCTAATTGCAGGTGGTGTGCTGAAGGTGGAAACTTAATTTGCTGTGACTTCTGCCATAACGCCTTCTGCAAAAAATGTATATTGCGCAACTTAGGCCGAAAGGAGCTCTCCACCATAATGGACGAAAACAACCAGTGGCACTGCTATATATGCCAACCGGAGCCCTTGCTGGACTTGGTCACTGCTTGTGATAGTGTGTTTGAAAACTTAGAGCAATTTTTTCAGCAAAATAGAAAAAGAATCAGAGTTGACAGTGAGAAAAGTAAAATGTTTGACAACACGCTGAAATACTCTCCCAAGAAAAATAGCTCAAACTGTAATGGTGAAGAAAAAAAACCAGATCGTCCACATTCTGGTTCTCTAACTTATTCCTACAAAGCATTGATGGTGCCAAAAGACCTGCTGAAAAAAACAAAAAAGATGGTCGAGACAACCGTAAACATGAATGCTAGTTTTGTAAAATTTTTGAAGAACGCAGCTGAAAACTCTGAAATAAACCGTACTGTGCACTTACGTCAGCTGAAGGCTTTTAAATCTGTCTTGAGTGACATCAAAAAGGCTCATCTGGCTTTGGAGGAAGGTATCAATCTGGAGATCCAAGCTCTGAATGCTAAATTTGGGGGGAAAAATACCAAAGAAGGGGCAGCCGAAATCAAATTGTCTACCAGTGAAGTAAAGAAAACAGAAGGAAAAGAGTTGAAAGAGCATAATGACACAGCAGAGATCAGTAAGTGTACAGATCAGAACACACCATCGGTGGAACAAACAGGAAGCAAGAAATCCAACTGTAGAGATAAAAAAACTGGGAAAAATGGAGGCCTCCAGTATGAACCCAATAGCCCTGAGGCCACAGACATGGATATTGTCTCTGTCCCCTCGTCGGTGCCGGAAGATATCTTTGAATCTGGTATGGAAGCACAGAAGGCGGGTGAACAGGGCCCTGGAAGCAGACCCACAGAACAAGGGGCCGTCAGTGCCAACCTGAAGTGCAAAGACAGTAGGGGAGGAGTGAAATTAATGCCGTCTTCAAAAGTTAAAAAAGAATTGTTTGTGAAACTAACTCCAGTTTCCCTGTCTAGCTCTCCTGTGAAAGCGGAAGATTCAGATGGAAAGTCAGAAAAGGAGGACAAGAAAGACGATGGGAAAGAAAACCACAGTGCTGAGCATGTATCGGAGAGTGAAGCCTTTTCATTGGCAGAAGACCAGGATCTCAGAAGGTCTCCACGTGTTAAAACCACGCCTCTGAGACGCCCAACAGACTTGAACACTGTAGTGTCAAACTCAGAAGAGGACAGTAATGATGTGCAGAGTGAGAAGCAGAGGAGAAAACCTGCACAGTTGAAAAGAAAAACGGATAAGCAGAGTTCTCCGGATAGCACGGTGCTGAGTCCTTCCCCTAAACCGAACACCATGGACCAAAGTTCTGATTCTGATGAGGTACCAGCAGTCCTCCAAGAAGTGGCTATGATGAGCCACAGTTCCTCAGATATTGACAGCAACAGCGAGGTGCCCAAGGATACATCAAGTAAGAAGCAGGCAGTGAAAGAAGACAATGGAAAACGAAAACGGAAAAGTTCCACTTCCGGATCGGATTTTGAGGCAAAAAAATTGAGCAAAGACTTAGCTGCTGCCGCTAAAAAGAAACGCCAGAATCGTTCTGATTCTTCTAATTATGATTCTGAGTTAGAAAGAGAAAATAAAGCTGCCTCTCCTAACAAAGCTAGCAAGAAGGGTCCAGAGGCAGAGAGTTGTGGTTCTTCAGAAAAGGAAACAAATGACAGAGAAAAAGGGTGTTCAGAAGAGCAGGAGGGTGAATGGGGCAATGAAGGAGATGATCTTGAACCCTCTGCTCAGGAGGAAGAGAAGCTTGGTGGTTCTTCAGAAGGTATGTTGGGGAAAGAAGCCACTCCTAAGGAGAAGCAGGCGAGAGAGGTGAAAGAAAGAGCTGCCAAAGCTAAGCAGAGTGCATCACCTGAAAAGGAAGAGGGTGGTGTTTCCAGCAAGAGAAGCCGGCGTGCAAAAGATGGACCGGACATCTCTTCCGATGATGCCGGCCAGCCCCTAAATCAAGAGCTGAGTGGTGGGTCCTCAGACGATGGTAGGAAAAAATCTAGAAAAGGCACCACCAGAAGTGTGAACCAGAGAAGAGCCTCTGCAAGAGGGCAAAGCGATTCTTCCTCTGATGCTGAGAAACCTCCTTCTGAAAAAGAGAGTGTTGGTGGCCCTGGAATGAACACAAAGAAACAAGGCACCCTTGAGGGGAAGAATAGGAGGAGCTTGAGAGAGAGAGCGTCTAAAAAGCCCCAGGGGGACACTTCACACAACGAGAAATCTCCCCAGAATGAGGTGGTGGGTGACAGTTCAGAAGATAACTTAAATAAAAAAGGAAGTTGTGCTAAAGAAAAGAAAAAAGTGAACCCCAAAAGGAGGAATTCAAACAAGCCGAGGGTTGACTTGCTTTCCTCTTCTGAGGAAGACTTTTACGAGGAGAAGAAGAACAAGAAAAGAGGGGGGGCAGCCGCAAAGGGGAGCAGCAAAGGGACTCGTGAAGGGAGAGGGAAGAAGGCTGTCAAGAAACCAAAGAACGAAGCCGTCACGACAACGTCGTCCTCATCAAATGAGGCTGAAAATGAGGAGCTGAATTCCGCAGACGAGGGGAGCAGTGATGAGCAGAAAATTAAGCCAGCAGATACCAAACTCGGATTTTGTCAATCTTCAGGTATGCAAAAGTTTAAGTCTGAACATTGGTTATTTACGGTACCGAGCATAACCTAAACATCTGTGATAAAACAGACCTGGTGGCCTGCAATTTTTTTTAAAACAAATCCCTTTCTGTTGTGTTGTGAATCTGGGTTTTGGGGTTGGTGTCTGCAGTCGTATTTCCATTTTGGACTGGTGTTCCATTGCCTCTTAAAAACTCAGGAAATGTTGTTGGCAGATAAACTCCAGCCTCCCTGCTTCCCACAGTTTCTGTCTGTCCCTGGATCCTGAATAGGGGAAGTTTTTAGTAGCCAAGTTGCTCACCTCCCCTTATCCCTAGAGTCTTTGTAGGTATTGAGAAAACTGGCTGGGTTGGAGGATTTTACTTCCATTTACAGCCGTTCCTAGCGGTATTTGCACCACGACGCCAACAAGTCAAAGAAGGGGAGGGAAACAGTGGTGGGTGAGAGGCAGAGGATTGCCAGTGCCTTAAGCCTGGCCTAGCCAGTCAAAACCCCTAGAAGAGTGCATGCGTTCATCTGCAGGCTCACACACACCCTTAGCCCTGGCAGCGTGAAGCTGAGTAGATAAAGCTAAGGGTTTTTTCCCCAAAAAAGGAACATTTTAGTCCTGCATATACAATAACGGGGCAAGTCTGTCGCTTTGCCTTGGCTTTCGAAGGGGCTGCAAGGGGTTATTGGGGAGATGCTGACCTCGCTTGGAGGCTGCCATGGTTGGAGTCCCCAGGAGACTTTGGGGGCTTTAATGCAGGGTTCATCTGTCACTCTCTAGCCGTTGGGGCCACCTTCTGTCTCCAGCATGCTGTGTATTACTTTTGATCACCTTCCCCCCCCAGTTGCTCAAAATCACATGTGTCTTTTCTCTTTATATTCTTACCCCACAAGAGTCAGACTGAACACAAAGAATCCATGAATAGGGTTGGTGGAGGAGGCACCTAAGCAAAGAGGGGCTACTTAATGTTTTCTCTTGGTCATCCTGGAAGTGTTTGGGCTTGATTCAGGCCACATTAATGCACTTCTCTTGTTTCAGATCACACTTCTCTAAAGGAACTTCACATTCCTCTCTCAACGCCTCAGGGTGTGAATGTGTCATTGAATTCATCCTTCTGGTGACAAGCCTCAAACCTTAGCCAGGTGGTGCGCAAGTGGTAGCCACGCTGTGTGCCATCAGGGCCATGCCCAGAGTCCTGCCGGCTTGTAGAAGTTGCCAGACCTTAATGCCCCACCGGGCTGCTTCCATGCCACCATGAGTTGGCTGTGAAGGATTGTGTGGTCTTTGTACTTTGTCTAAATAAAGATGCAGCTTCTGCAGAGTTGCTCTATTTAGCTGTTTCATTTTGATCTCCCACTTTTCTCTGGGTTACCATTCAGGTAGTTATCTTACATGGTGAGGTAGAGTTTTAGGTTGAGCTTCATGGCCAAGCAGGGCATTTGAACAGTGAGGATTGGTCCCCCTCTGTTTAGCCACACAAGACTCTTGAAGTGGTTTTCAAAATGACCAAGGAGAGAGTTCCTTACAGCTGAATAATAGGATATAGTACAAAAGGAAATGTAACTGAGGCACTAGGTCTTCCTTTCAGATTTCTTGCAGCTGCAATTTCCCCAGCTTTGGCACTGTTTACAGGCTGCTACCGCTGCAGTATTTATGTATTCAGATAAAAATGTAATGCCTTGTTTTGGATCAAAAATTAAAGTGCTGGTAGATATCATTAATTGTAAGGGCAGGAGCCAGCATGTTTATATTGTCAGTATCTATGAATTGCTTATACTGAATTTTGCTAAGCAGCATGCAGACAATACAGAATAAAACTGCATTTGTGCCATACTCTATATGAACATTTCTAGAATCCAAGTGAATATTTACAGCAGCATTAAGCACATTGCCATAACTTGGAGCTGAATATAGCTGATGATTCACGAGTCCCCCAGTCAAATTTGTCGTTGTGTGCTGCACACCACCAGGATTCAGTTAGAGGCAAGTCAATTAAATAATATTTGCAGCTTCAACTTGTGCCAATGTAATTAGGCGGGCATTAGTATTCCTTTGGATTCTGGCCATTCTATTTTTTCACCCACAGATACCAACCTTTGCTAAAAATATTTTTTTAAAAGGCATGTGAACTGGTCACTCTATAGAGTTAGTGCAATATGACCAGAGTTATAATCATCAGCTTACAGCCTCTTTATTCCTACTATAAGTACTTTCCAGCCTTTGTTGCAAGCTTCGTTGGTTGTATGGGCTTAAGATGCAACTTTGTGTAGCAGCACCAAAATCAGAAATGTTGTTTTATAAGAAACAGCTTGATGGAGTAAGGTGGTGATCCCTTTTGGTGACAGTATTTGGGAGTACAAAGGTGCATTTTTTCCCTCCATGCTAAATGTGCCTGTCTTGTTTTCTTTCCAAAGGAGATGAAGGGGAGACTCAGCCAGCACCTGTTCACATGGGAGAGGAGGAAGATGACGACGACGATCCCGAGAATAGGTATGATTCCATCCGTAAGGACTTAAAAGCGATTATAACACACCCTAGGCGTGGGCGCAAACAAGAGCAACGGAGCAGCAAGCAGGTTCTAAAAACCAGAAGTGCCTGCCTTGTAACGACTCGCTCACAGGCTTCCCGCAAGTTTGAACGAGAGGCCAGAAAACAAACCCCTAAATCCAGAAATGAAAAGAAAATAAGAAAGTACATTTAAGTGTTAACGCACACACCTTGGCATAGGGTGTGTTATAAAGGCATTGCAGGACTGTCTGTTTTGAGTTTCCATGTAAAATGCAGATTCTGTGTAAATTGTATATTTAGATGCACTTAATAAAATAGCGGTTTGATATTTATGGGTGGCCCGCAGGGATAGGATTCTCACAACAATTATTTAGTATTACGACAGAAGCTTTGTTTTGAGCTTTGAATATCGTTTCATCCAGTATTCAAGTTAGTTTTTCTGAAGCCTCAATTAGAAAGCAGACGCAGCCTCGGGGCGTGGCTTTTGGAGGGACCAGTCTTCCCAAGCATTCACACCTTATCTCAGAAGTGAATGCTGGTGGCATAATCATGTGTTAACTTAATTTTGTACCTGGTTCAGTTATTTTGAGTGAGGCTTTTCTTGTTTGGGTTGGGGTTGCATGTTAGATTAAAACATGTTCATCACTATATATTTGGCATTAAACTGTAATGTTAAAATATTACAATCGTCAAAGGTCTTGGTTTTTCAGATTTCAGGAATCTTCTAGTAACAAAAGAATAAAATGGAACTCATGTAATTGCCAAATAATAAATGAGGAAAATTTAAAACCAATGGAGGAGGGTGGATTTTCAGTTGTCACACTCAGGCTGCAATCCTGGACTGACTAACTTTGAAATGGACCTCCCTGATCTCCTTTTTAGAGCAAGCCCATACAAGGTGTAATGCTGTTAGAGAATCAGCAGCGTGTAACTATGCATGATGTTGGTTACCAAGCAGTACAGTATTTTGGAAATGACATATTTTTGACAACATGTGCAATTAGCTTTATGAGGATAAAAAGTTGTTACCAATTTAACTAGTGTTTATCTCCATAAATATAGAAAGAAAACCTGCCCCCCCTTTTTTTGTATGTACCTGAAAATAACTTTGACACTTGTTCTCCCATTTGAAAAGGGGTACAAATAAAAATGCTGCTAATCTAGTTTTTACTAGGTTTACACAAGCAATGTTTAAACAAATGTTTAATAATGAACTTTAATAACTGCTTCATAATTGACAGGATAGAATGATAAGCATACTGTTGGGGAAGAATTTGAAGACTTTCTTTCAAAGACTTAAACTTTGCTTCTTTCTTTAATTAAAAATTTTTAAAAGCATTTCTAAAGGATAGACAGATGATAGGAAAATTATTTTCCTTGGGTAATTATCCTTCATTTAATTTCTTAACACGTAGCAGTGATTCCTTAAGTAATGTTTTCATCATAAAGAATAATTTTATTTAGTAAATAAAAGTTCCTGGAATTGCTTTTCAGTGGGCACAGCCCTGAATTACTGTATAATCCAGGAAGGAATCAGTCTACCTCTCTTAGAGTTGGTGTTCATTAGAAAATTGTCTTGACCAATATGCAAGCTGGCCCGTATTATACCATATTGAAATGCTTCATTTTTGGCTCCGGATACTGCAGTTAAGGAGTGGTTTCACTGACCATGTGCATCAGAGAGATCCTAAGACCTGTCTGCAGTGGTCCAGAAGGACATGGATGGAGTTTTTTTTTGGGGGGGGGCTCCTTCCTCCAGTTCAAGAGCACTTAATATAGAGGGTGCCCTTCCTCTTCCTCATTGGTGAGCTGAACTAATGCTTTCTGCTTGCTTTTGGGATCCTTGCCGGCTGGACTCCTGTTGAATGGTCAGTGATTTTTTGCCATGTCACACCAGCCTCAGACTTTCAAGTCAAGGCGCTTAGGCTTGCAGTTTTAACTTTTTGCTAGCTTTTTGGACAAAACACTGACTTCTTTCAGGCCAAAGAAGGATGCTAGAGATGGGTAGTCACGTTACAACTTGAACAGTTGTACCACTAGCTTTCTTTATCTGAAGAAATTATTTTAACATGCTTCTATTAAAATGTTAAAAAAAATCTTGCCAAAGTGCAATATTATAGTGATACTTAATATAACAGACAGTGCTGTATTTCATTGTGGTGTGTATATGTTTCTTATTGGTTTGTCTGAACTTATAAATAGTGCTGTTTTACTATGCTTGAAGTTATTTTTGTTTATAAAGAGATTCATCGTGTATTCATGCACAATGCCTTTGAAGTATTTGATGGATGCAATAAATTTTTGTAAAACATGTTTCTCGTGCAAGCATTTAATTTTAAGAAAAATAAAACACTTTTTTTCTTCTAAGTTATAATAGGGAATGAGTTACTAAGATATTTTCATTCATATTTAGGTTTTCTCCACATTCAGTTTAACATTTCTGTGATTCCCCTACTTTAAAGCTAAAATATGTTAGATGTCATACATGAGATAAAATGAAACATCTCATTAATACATCTTTCCAGTTTTCCCTTTATCTCTTTCCTACGTTGAGGTAAGCGTGGAGGGTACCAAATGTATACATGTTCCTTGGTTCCAGAGTCAGCGTATCCTGGGAGTTTTACACATGTATTCAAGATTTTCCATAATCTTTACAGTTAGGTTCCCCCCTCCAGGGATGGGATTCATGTCTACATGCTGGCAAACTGCTTAACCCCAGTAACCCTCCTCCTCTTAATAGTAAAAAGCAACAAACCTGTGCATATTTAGTTTTGCAATTCAAACTGCAGTGTAAGAGGTGGTGAAATAATTGAAAGAGAGCAAACATTGGCCTCTTCATTACTGTGAATGAAATAAACAAATATGGATGTCATAATTGGCAATATTAATGCCGGGGGGGGATGCTGCTGATGAGCAAAACTGCAAATTGGCTGTGAACAAATTTCAGAGGGTCACGTGTGCCCACTTTGGGTCTCAGCCCGATTCCTTTCCAGTTGGAGGCTTCTTAAGACTAGGTTTACAGGTAAAATGAAGTTATCAGGTCATGTAGGAGCTTTCATGTAAAATAGAATGTTCATTTTTTTTTTCAATGAACAGACTTACAACTCTGAGTCAAAACAAGAGAGAGAACCTTAACAAGATTCTCGTTTCCAGTTAGCTTCAGGGTCATTATTGTCCCCTTTATCATAACTCTTTTTCATGCCCAACATGAATGTGCAAAACTTTGTTCCCTGTGAGGTGGATTGTAATCTATCAGTTCTAATGAATTCAAATCTCCTGTCTTTGCTGTTGGATTAGGACAATGAAAATACTGGTGGGTAAGGGGGAAATTATTATTGTTGCTTCTGGTGGGCTTTGAAACTCAACATGTGACAAATGGTATTTAAGTAACTTTCCATTTAAAATGAATGTCTTTGTGCTTCAACACCTTTTGTGGCTTCTCATTTTCATGGTTTCCTTGAATGAAGTTCTTGTTCTTGGTCTCCCTTGTTGACCATATCAGTTAAGTTTTTGGAACAAAAACTGAAGGTTTTTGACTAACATTCAAATAAAATTGGAGGTGTTTTTTTAAAGTGATTTTTTCATTATACAGTATAATGCTTACCCCTCATTTTTATGAAGCCGTTATGTCTGTTGACATGATCCCTCAGGGATTGATGTTAGAGTTGGCATCTTCTATGTTTCTCACTCATGGGATGATATCTGTTGGCACAGGCTGGTCTCATTCCTGTGCCACGACACTCAAAAGGTCATAAAATTTGAGGATGGGGCACAGGAGTTTGCAAAAGCAGGGCCCACTGAGTTGAAACTGATACAGAAACACCTGGCTACATGTTTGAAGTTTTGTATACACATGAAGTAATTAGGAAATGATGAAAACACAGTATATCTGTCAATAGCTTACTTTCTTAAAGCTTTAGAAAAACATTGTTAACTTTTCCCATCCTTGCATTTGAACCTTGCTTATGTAAATACTTCAGAGATATACCCTAACTGCACCAATATCTGCACAGCATCTCTGTGATGTTTGATAGCTAAGGATTTTTTCACCCCTAAACTGTATCTTTTCTCCTGCACTGTTGTTTTTTCAAGTATCGGCCAGCTGTTGATAAGAATATACCAGTATATACCATTCCCACGCAGGCCTGGTCTCATATCTCTGCTTGCTTTAGCCTCTTGGAGTCAGAGATAATGAACCAGAGATGTCAGCTGGGGAAAATTAGATCTCTCTACAACTTGGGAGGGTCAAGGACAGAAAGAATGTGTTGATCCACATTAGTCCATTAAAAATGCATCATAAAATGGAATGATGCTGTGTGTAAACAATGGTAGCAAAGGAACATTTTTGAAAATAATTTTAAGTTGTTAATGCATTTTGAAACAGTATTTCTTCAGTGAAAACAGATCAGAGATGTGAATTTTAGTGTGTTTCAGCTAGCCATAGAATATATAGGCTGATAGGATTCACAGTTGCATAAATAAGATGCATGCACAGCTGTAGTGTTGAGAAGCCTTAACCCAGCTTTTTTGCAGTTGCAGGGGGAATTTCAGCCAGACAGCCATACTCTCTAGAGCCACCCTACTGTCAGGGGAAACGAGACAGTATAGTTTTCTCCTTGTACCACTGCCGGTCATTTTGACCTCTCTCACTTCTCCTGGCATGAGAAGAAAAGAGCCACTCATTTGGAAAGGATACACTGATTGTTTTCCTCTATGAGGACTAATGGTTTGTATTGTTGTCATTGAAAGAACAGGCAGCAAATAAAAGCTCCGAAGTAGGAAAAATTTAGCAGTCTGGTGTTGTACTGAACACTGTCAGTCCACAAAACATGACAACATTGGGCAGGGGTTTCAACCACAGGGGGAAAGAAGGGTGAGCATTTTTCCTGATAATTTTCTTCTAGTTCTTAGATCCTAAGGTTGTATTTTGAAAGATTACTTCACAAAGTGGGATCTTTATTTAAAATTCAAGTCATACTGCATTCCATTTTAAATGGAAAACTTCTGCTTTATATCTTTTGCAACTTTCTCCTGTATTTAATAGTGACAGAAATATAGACTTTAAACACTCTCTCTCACACACACACAACCACTAAATTTACTCAGACTTCGCCGTACAGGCCACTTCTGCTTTAAAATAGTTCCTCTGTCAGAAAAAAGCCAGGGTGCTGGTGAAGAATTCAAGCAAACCTGAGCGCTTGAAGAGTTTTTCACAGGTGGAGTTAAAAAGCAGCAGCAGCAACGGCACATCCCAAAACTTAATATTAGATAATACAGGGCCTTTTTGCCATTGAGAAGCAGGCCAGGCTGTTGTTCAAACATTGAATCCAGTTTGTGAAATTGTAGAAATTGTGAAATTGAAAAGGCAGTGGTTTGCTCTCCTGAGCATAACCAAGGGAATGCCCCCATGCCTCTGTTTTCAGGTCACGATTTTAAAATGTTTTGGACGCCACGAGATCTGAAGTTGGGTTGAGCTGAATTTTTTTAATTTATTATTTATTTATTTAATTTATAAGTCGCCCACACTACCCAAAGGTCTCTGGGCGGCTTACAGCATTTAACGGACTTGATTATGGTCAAAGACTAGCACCAAAGACACTGAATTCTAATATTGTTTTATAAACTTCCTGTGCCATGAAGGTAAAGGAGAAACAATGAAAGGAGGACCAATGGCAGTTGAACCCTATCATGCAGTTGTATCAGCCACAGATAAGCTGTTTTAAAGGACCTATCCACAACCCGATGCTTCCTAGGGGTGCTGAGCTATTGCTCCCCACCACCACCCAGAGGATGGCCGTCACGGGGGTGGGGAAAGAGTGCTGTAGGATTTAGATAAGGTTGTATTGACATCGTTCAGAATAGTCCCCTCATTTGCACACGATCAAGTTGAGAAGACAAATCATGCTCCCACTGTGGACATGGGTTACCCACCCATCCCGGGGTCTTGCTTAGTTCTTAAAACTCCTGGGTCTTGCCTTGTCTGGTTATGCAGTTGTGCGTTTGTCATTTGCTGGTTTTTGTCAGGCGAACCCAATAGAATATACGCCTTTTTTTGTTTTGCTCCAAAGAATTGCCAAGAAAATGCTTTTAGAAGAGATCAAAGCCAATCTTTCCTCAGAGGAGGATACTTCTTCTGATGAAGAGTCGGAAGACGAGGAGAAGAAGAAGAAGAAGAAGGGACAGAAAACAGGAAAGAGAGGCAACACAGGTGAGCACCCAGTAGCAGCACATTCTATCCATTGTAATGTCAAAATACAGTGGTGCCTCGCAAGACTGTTAATTCGTTCCACGAAAAACGTCGTGAAAACATCGTCTTGCGAAACGCAGTTCCCCATTGGAATGCATTGAAATCTATGTAATGCGTTCCAATGGGAAAAAATTGCCATCTTGTGAAAATCGTCCATAGAAAACATCGTCTTACGAAGCGCCACAGCGATCACAAATCGTCTTGTGGAATAATCGTCCCGCGAGGCAATCGTCTTGCGAGGCACCACTGTATTGCTTAAAAGAGCAATGAGCAGCGCATGCTTTTTGACCAAATATGTGAACTTGCTAATGCTGAACTCCAGAGGTGACAAATAAGTTGCTAGAATAGGCACTAGGGATGGGCACGAAGTGCCAGTTCAGGGGTTTGTGCTGGTTCATTTACTGGCCGAACTGGTGTTTAGCAGAGGAGGCAGAGCAAGTAAGGACCAAACACCTGTTGGCTGGGAAACGAACCAGCAGGACCTCCCAAACCAGCATTTCTTGCCCATTTCTAGTAGCTGCCTTGTTTTGTGCCAAAGTCTTCACAACAGTAACTAAAATCCTGCAGCCTTCACTTAACTGTAACTTGTAATGTCATCATAGCAGAAAGAGATGAAAGACGCTTACACCTGGTGTGTTATAATTTCACACGTTTGGTGTTATGCTAAATTGTCATATATTGCGGTGAGCAAATGGAAAATAAGGGGAGGTTATTTGTTGGTTGGTTTGTGTGCGAGAGAAAGAGACAGAGAGAAGAGAACAAACAGGAAGGCAGCTTTAATTTGATGCCCGACGTTGACGACTTTGATGGTGTGTTAAAGTGACATAAACTCCCTTTGTGGGGGGAGAGAAAAGGCGACTTATGGTTTTATATTTTTTCCCCTCTAACAGACGAGAATGAAGAGGATGATATCTTTGACTCAGATTCAGATGCCGAAGAGGCTAAGAAACCGAAATACAGACACCGATTATTAAGACACAAGTTGACAGTGAGCGACGGAGAGTCTGAGGATGAAAAGAAGGGGAAATCCAAAGATGGAAAAGAAGTGAAACGTCGAAATAGGAGGAAAGGTACAAAATCTCACCCTCTTGCTTTCTCTCCGTATCCAGGCCGAAAGAACCAATTGAGACAACCAATTAGATGCTCGTTAGCAGCAAGTGATGCACGTCCATAGCCTCCCTACCTCTTGATAGGATGGGGGAAACGTCCCAAGTCACTCAGAGGTGGGAGGCTTTACTCCAAGGCAGTTTATATTTCTTACGTGTTCAGAGAGAGAAGGCAGGATCTTAAGAGGTACTTTAGGTGTGTCTATGGGTTTACGCATGCTAGTGAGATTTGTTATTTTTAAAAAAAAGATTCAGAGAGATTTAAAAGAACAGAGAGTTGCTGTCATGTATACGTGAGCCCAAAGCCTCCCTGAGCCTATAGGACTCAATTCTTTTCCAGTTCATGAACTTTCTGGTTGGTTTTCCCAATGGCAATTCCTTTTCAAAATTAGCATTATTGACCACAATCACGGGACATGCTTGGACTGTCCAGGGCCCTTTCAACGTGGTTTCCTGGACCGACAGCACACTAGAAGGATTGTGAAACTGGGGGAAGTGTGAGAAGTCCTTATGCTGTGGAACGGGGCGGGAATCTGTGATGGGATGCCGAGAGTGTGAGGAGAATCCTGCTGGCCCCGTGCAAGCCTTCAGATGAGAAACCTTGTGGCCCTTCCCATAATCCAGAGTGCTCCAGGGGTAGAAAACTCTTCTGCGTCAAGGACCCTCATCCCTCCCACTTCCTAAATCCTTGGTGTCGATCCAACTTTTGTTGCTTGTTTTGTTCCTTGCATCTAAAGTGAGCAGTGAGGATTCAGAAAACTCCGATTCAAATGAAGCCAATGAGTCTGGAGTCAGCGAAGACGTCAGTGAATCTGAAGACGACCAGCGTCCAAGGACCAGGTAGTGTTTCATTCTCTGGTGGTTCCCGATTTGTTTCCTTTTTCTTTTGATGACGGGTCTGTTAAGGGGCAGATTTAGGAAGAAAGAGGAGGATGAAATGGTTTGGGAGCCATCAGGACAAAGATGCCTCTCTCTGTCTTCAGCGAATGAAAGAGTTAGAGGGATGGATCTAGTTTGAGGACCCTTGTGGCTTTTCAGGAGGGAATCAAGGCTCCAAGAGGTTGTATGCCTTTCCACAGTTTTACAGAAGTTACGCCCAGGTGCTTGTTCACATCCTTGTGGCTTTTCAGGAGGGAATCAAGGCCCCAAGAGGTTGTATGCCTTTCCACAGTTATGCCCAGGTGCTTGTTCACAGAGAAAGGAGAGACAGCCACGTGGCCCCTTGACATGTTTGCATTTTGCTGCACCTGCCATCTCCCTTTTACAAGTCAGTATCTGACAAAGATAAGGTTGGCTACCTCGGGGCCGTCTTCTGGACTTTGGGTGTCTTCCCCAGTTCTCTGAACTGGAGAATTGTTACGGAGAACACAGGCAACACCAACTAAAAGCACAGTAGACATCCTTTAAATGCCCATGTTGTTTGGAAATAATTAAGCCACCGACGAAAGGAGCGAATAGCTCAGATGATGTGTCTTGCAAGTAGACATGGGTCTAGAGTTGAACACATCTGATTTAAATCTGGAGATGAAACCAGTTTGCATGGACATCAAGAGAAGTGGACTCAGAACAGGTGGGGGGCCCTCCTCCCCCGCCCAGGAAAGGAAAGTTGTCGTTTCTGTGGTAAAAACAGTGACAGAAGGTACAGTGTGTTTCCTAGGACTGTTTTCCTAAGGAATGTCCCAGAGCTATGAAATGTTATGCTATTTAGGCAGTTTCAGTGGCAGCCAATTGACCGTTATTGATATGGAAACTTCTCCCATTGATTCAGATCTGCCAAGAAAGCGGAATTGGAAGAAAATCAGCGGAGTTACAAGCAGAAGAAGAAAAGAAGGCGCATAAAGGTCCAGGAGGATTCGTCTAGTGAAAACAACAAGGTATTTGTTTAACTGAAAAGACCCTGTAGTTCTGAGAATTTGAGGAGGCTTTAAACTAAGGGTGGGTAACATCCCATGACCAAGGGGCTGAGGGCGGGGGTTTCAGTAGTTCCAACTAGGAAAAGTCAGTACTAGTCCTAGATGAATGGAAGTCCCTGGTGTGATATTTTGCCAGCCTCTGATCCTCACTGTTATTTGACAAGACCGATTGCAATGGTTCCCAGCCTTGGGCCCCCAGAGGTTCTTGGACTCAAACTCCCAGAAGCCTTCACCACGAGCTGAGCTGGCCAGGATTTCTGGGAGTTGTAGTCTAAAAAAACATTTGGGTTAACTAAGGTTGGGAACCATTGCATTAAAGCAATGGAAACATTTTACTCATTTTGACTAGAATTCTCTGATAGCCCTATGACAATCTATTTTATTGCAAGTGAATGTTGTGGGGCCTTTGAAGGTTGTTTTTAATTTTTGTTTTTGCATCTTTCTGTTCTTGTTTCATATGCACTGTGTCTGCTTTTTCATCCCTACCTTCCCCCCCCCCCAGTGTCCCAGAACACTCCTGAAACATGGGGAGCTTTAGAAGCAGTTTATATTTTAGTGTTGGCGGTGAAGGGATTGGGTGTTGCCTTTTAGCTCCTTGCGTGGAAAGTGCCTGTAGCCCTATAGAAACAAACCATTGGAAACCACCTGTGGTCTTGTGATCTTTGAGGTCTTGCTATGTTCTTCATTGACCTCCTGCTGCCATGTGTGCTGTATGCTGCCGGTGTCTGGCAGCAGCTAAATACAGTACATTGTAAAGGCCTATGGCTGGAAACAATAAAGTTTATACATAATAGCTATCTAAAATACAGTATGTGAGTTTTGTGCTGTCAAGTTGGAACAGGATTACAGCAAGTGTAACAGGGCTTTCAAAGTAAATGAAATGTTTGAGGATTGGTTTTACTAGTTCCACTCCCCCTGCAAGTTTCCATGGCTGAGCAGAGATTCGAACTCTGGCCTGGTCCGTCATTCTAACCGCCACACTACACTGGAAATACAAAAGGGCAGTTATTTCAGTTTATAATTTCAATGAAATTGTTTCCATTTAACATCTTAATCCCTTTTTATCTGACTTTATCCTTAAAGACAGAGGAAGGTGGTCAATTTTTTTCAATGCTATTTTTCTTGTTCGCTTGTTTGTTTTTTAACAGAGTAATTCTGACGATGACGACAACGATGATTCAAAATCTCCAGGGAAAGGCAGGAAAAAGATACGAAAGATTATTAAGGACGATAAACTCAGAACGGAGACACAAAACGCACTCAAAGAAGAAGAGGAGAGAAGGAGACGAATCGCGGAGAGGGAGCGAGAGAGGGAGAAGCTACGAGAGGTGCTTTTCCTTTCTTTATGCAACGGACCCGTGGGAGGAAGGGGTGTCCTGTGTTCGTAAATGCCTGTAGCCGAGGTGGATTTTTTAAAATAAGCCTATGAGGCAGAAGGGGCACGCCTGGGAAATGCAAAGAGGAAACTACAAGAGAAACTCTTTGTCATGTGCAAGAAGAAATGGAAAGAGAAAGAGAGGGAAATGTGGGAGGGATGATGGGAAGTGTAGCCCAGTGGCACCTGAAAGATAGACATGAGCTACTTTTCCAGAGTATTCGAATCTCCACTATTTATCCCTATTTGAGGTTTTGGTGGTTAGTGCTTAGTAAAGTAATTAGTATTTAGTTGTAGCGTGATTATTATTTCTGTTTAAGGTGTCCTTTTTGGGGTAGTTTTTCTATGTCATGTAACCTACATTGAAAATTGCTTGTTGCCGTAGTAGAAGCCACTTTAAAAACAACTTTAGAAGAGTAACTCTCGAGTTCCCTGTTTTGTTCTAAATGTATGCCACTTATTAAGAATCTTTCATCAGTCACAGTGTACCTGGGCTTTTTGCCTGCTTTTTATTACATCAGCTGCAGGTCTTCAACTTCATGCGTCACGCAAGGTTTGCCTTATAATCATGGCATTTTGCTGGCATTTGCAGAATTATTATTTTATTTACAAATTTTTTAAAGCCGCGAACATTACCAATGGTCTCTGAGCGGCGTACAACAATATTATATATGGCAAGATGCTTGTGCAGCGAATATCTGTATTTTCAGTCAGGGAGGTACCATGCTGTACTCCTCTGAAGGGTGTGAGTCAAGTCCTGTCTGTTAAATTCCTGATCCAAACAACCCCTTTGCCTGTTTCATGCATGTTATGGCATCTCTTAAGTCATGTGATCCCACGCCGGAGGTATGGGCGTCTTGGGACAAATCTGAAAAAGATCTATTCTCAGAAAAAATGTATTTGGGCTTGAGTGCAAAGTGTAATCTGTTGCCTTGTGTCCTTTTATCCTGCAGCTTGAGTTACGATCCCAAATGTTTCTTTCCAGGTCATAGAACTAGAGGATACGCCAACAAAATGCCCCATCACAACCAAGCTGGTCTTAGACGAAGACGAGGAGACGAAAGAACCGATAGTACAGGTCCACAGAAACATAGTTACAAAACTGAAGCCACATCAAGTAGATGGTAAGGTAACCTGACAAGAACTTTGCTCTTTGAAAGGCTGGGTGTCGAAGGGGTTTAAATGTTTGCGCGAGTCGGGATAGAGAGGTGGCTCTGTTGCAGACCGAAAGCCAAAGTATTGGTGCTTCACTGTTGACTGCTGCCTTTTTTAAAGGATGTTTTAACAATATTGTTTCCAGGTGTTCAGTTTATGTGGGATTGCTGTTGTGAATCTGTGAAAAAAACAAGGAAATCTTCAGGCTCTGGATGCATTCTTGCCCATTGTATGGGTCTGGGGAAAACCTTGCAGGTATGTTTCAAGAATCCATAGGCAGGGAGGCATAGCCCTGGCTTCCTCCCAGTTTCTACCAGTTGCAATGACGGGAACCAGCTCCGGGAAGGGCTTCGCCAAAACGTCCAGGCGCTGCCTTTCTTGCCGTTGTCACCGTAGCTCAGTGTGAATATTAAAATAGCACAATATCCTTTTTATACACAAGTGTTGTAGCTGGGGAGAGTAAAACTGTGGAAGGAAAGAGGATTTATTACACCTGTCCCATCCTTTCTTCCCAATGCTGGAGCATTGTACAATGGGGGTTACAGTGAGCTCCAGCCCAGTTTAGCCAATGGTGAGGATGCGGGGGGGTGGTGGTTTGGCCGTCTAGCGACAGCCCCACCTTTAAAAAATAGATGACTGCTTTTACTGGAATGGGACTACCAGGGGGTGCTCATACTCTAAAATGGTCATTGTCATCCTGGAAATTGGGAAAGGAAACCCTAAAATGTCATGGGTGTGCTCGGGATGAATGGTGACTCAGTCCTGTTCGTGGCACAGCTGGCGGTTTCCTAAGGTGACCGTGCAGCCTTTCTGCCTTACAGCAGTCGCATGGTGCTGGAGGAGGAAAGCTGTGTTTTATTTTTATTTAAAAAGAAGAAAATGCATCCTGTACAGGTGAAATGGTGCAGCTTTATAGAAGAAGCATGGTCTTGAGAGGAGGCTGTTAGGGCTATTTCCAGAAATTGAGCAATGCTTTTGCTATAGAAACAGTGGCTTGAAAAATACTTGAGTGTGCCAGGAAATATATATTTCCTTTCTGGGTTGCATTTCTCTTGCAGTCTTTTAATATATGCAACACTACGCAATAGTTAGGAACCCAAGTTGCTGTGTTCCTTCTAATAGTAAAGGTAAACATAACCGAATGGATTACTATGCTATGGCTGTGTCTCTTCTCACACTAAAAATTATAGCAGGGTGTCCAACTGTACAGAGAAAGATGACTTGGACAAGGATAAAATCAGTTTGGTTGTTGCAACCAATCAGCAAATCAATACACACACACACACACACAAGCTGTTTGCATATACTGGCTCAGCTCACCCTAAGAACAGTTTGCCTGTGAAGTGGTGGATACTTGATCCTGTGCATACAAGGGTCTTACGGTAGCCTTAAACATGCAGAGACTTGTATTTTAGCTTCTGATCTGTTTGGTTTTTCCTCTCTTGAAGGTAGTAAGCTTCCTTCATACAATTCTGTTGTGTGACAAGCTGGATTTCAGAACAGCTCTTGTGGTTTGCCCGCTGAACACAGCTCTGAACTGGCTGAATGAATTTGAGAAATGGCAAGAAGGCTTAGAAGACGACGAGAAACTAGAGGTATCGGTCATCCTTGACTTGCAGAGCACTTGTGGCCATAGTAGCTAGTTGCAGCATCAGAGATACAAAACAAAATTCTTTAGGATGTTGATTCCTCAAGACTGCAGGCCTTAAATGCTGATTATTCCGAGAGTGCCTTGATTTCTCCCCTGTTTTTCCCTACAAGGTCAATGAACTGGCCACGGTCAAACGCCCTCAGGAGAGGGGCTACATGCTGCAAAAATGGCAAGATGAAGGCGGCGTCATGATCATCGGATACGAGATGTACCGTAACCTTGCACAAGGACGGAATGTGAAGAGCAGGAAGCTGAAGGAAATCTATAACAAAGCACTGGTGGATCCAGGTAAGTCAGAATATCGTAGCCATTAGCCTTTTCTAATCTGGGTCCCTCTGACAGAGGTCTGCCGTCCCTGGCCAGCATCGGCAGAGAAAAACCTTGGAGCTGTCTAGGTCAGTGGTTCTCAAACTTGGGGTCCCAGATGCTCTTGGACTGCAATTCCCAGAAGCCTTCACCGCTTCCTGTGCTGGCCAGGCTTTCTGGGAGTGGCAGCCCAAGAACATCTGGGGACCCCAGATTGTGATACAGTTGACCTAGGACGACCCAGGTTCAAATCCCTGCTCAGTCGCAGAAACTCAATGGGCATGGCTGTGATAAACCACTTCCTAGACATCTTATGCATCTCAAATCGCCTATTAGGTTCACTGTACATAAGCAGTTTGAAAGCACAGAATAACAATATCAACAATGAAGTCCAGTTCCAGCAGACCCTTTCTCCCTGCAGAGGATAGCCTATGACACTTATAGGCTAATTTGGTATCTAAAGACACAGTATCAGGGCAATATCAGAAATCTTCTCTTCCTCAAACATAGCTGTGCATTAAAAAAAGGAAATCATTAATTCTCAGATACCTACTTTCATTTGACTTGACTTCCAGGGACCAGTAGGTGGCAGCATCACATTTGTTTATAAATACATATTGAGATTCATAATTAGATAAAATCTTCCTTCTTGACCTCTTGGTGGGGCATTTTTCAAAGGCATTGCTATGGAATTTTGTGTTTCTTGACCCACATCTTGAAATATTGTCACTCCATATAGCAGAGCAAAAGTCAGTGATCCTCAAGGCCTTTTCTAGCTCTGCAGTTCTAAGATGATGATGATGTGGCAGTCCCCAGACTACCCTGGCTGATGACAGAGTGATGAAGAAGCGTGCTCACATTTTTTATGAAGCGTTCGCTGGAGAGACACCATAAACGCTTGATCCCTGCTAGCTTTTGAAGAAGCAGACTAACAAATGGTAGTTCTGGTTCATACTTTTGTGATCTCTTGGACCATGTTATAGGAGATGCACCCTGAAATGAGAGAGAGAGAGAGAACTTGAAAATTAATAACGTACATTTTTTAATAGATTTGAAGTCTATAAGTGTTTCTGGAACAAGTTGCACTTGATGGTTAGGCTGTGAAATACACTATCTTGTTACGACCAGTAAAAGAAATTCAAAGGTTTATTTCCCTTTTTCGATACCAGGTCCTGATTTTGTGATATGTGATGAAGGACATGTATTGAAAAACGAAGCTTCCGCTGTTTCTAAAGCGATGAATTCTATCAAGTCCAGGAGGAGGATCATTCTGACAGGAACCCCATTGCAAAACAATCTCATAGAATGTAAGTTTCAGGCGTTGGTGTTGGTAAAAGCCTGAAGATCTATATGTTTCATTAAAATAAAATAGGATGGGTTTGTTAATGTGGAAGTACCATCTCTGTACCCTGGCGGGGCTTTTTTCCCCTTTCTCTTTAAATATATTCAGAGCTTGTTTGTTTATGTGACTTGGTTCACCTACTAAATAGACTTCAAATAGAATTCTTCTTGGATTAGTTCCATATCAGTACCTGACTGGCACTGAAAACTGAGTTGGAAATCGAGTGTGAAAATTGTCAGATTGGCTGCGAATCAGAGCCTCTGCCCTCCACGAGCAGGAGGCCGACCAGTTCCTCAATGGCCCCAGTCCTTCCCTGTCTCTCCCACCTGCTTCCGTACTCGGTGCTCCCGGCCAGTACCCTGTGACTTGACCAGGCTGTTTCCTTGTGCACCACGTGGCTTCTGCATCTGCTCTCAGAGGGCTGGGTGTCCGAGCTCTGGAGATTATTTCTTGCCGACGGACGTTGTGGCTCAATGACAGAATGCTTGGAAGAGTTTAGCTTGGAGCAGCAAAGCAGTAGCTGGTGAGGGTGCCCTCACAGGAGACCTTTTGGGATTCTTGGGAGGTCTGTTAACACCAGGAGGGTGCAGTCATTGGCTAAAGTGCCTGTTTCAGCCGGATGTCCCTTTATTTTACAAATATTGGCTGCCACCAGTAAAGGCCGGCCTTAAGCCACCTTTTACCTTCTGCAGAAGACGTAACAATTGATTTGTGATTCCTCAGATCACTGCATGGTCAACTTTATCAAGGAGAATTTGCTGGGGTCCATAAAGGAGTTCCGGAATCGATTTATAAATCCCATCCAGAACGGCCAGTGCGCAGACTCCACCCTGGTCGATGTCAGAGTGATGAAGAAGCGTGCCCACATCTTGTATGAAATGTTAGCTGGGTGCGTCCAGGTATGTCGCTCCTTGAGTTATGCTCCCTGATAGTGTGAGCCTTTAAAATCGTTAGCGCCTAAAACTTAAAAGCTTTCACTGTCTTTTGGGCTCCGATAGACTGTTCCTGTCAATTAAAGCTGTTTCTGTCCCCCTCGCCCCACCTGTTATTTTGGATCTGCAAGCCAGAAAAATGTTTTTATAAAGTTTTAAATTGAAAACATGATTGTTTTAAAACTTCTGTCTACTTTATTGGTTGCACCACCACCACCCCCTTATTGTAAAATGTAAAACCCTTAGCAACAGGTGGGCCTCCCACAGGACCTGCAGTTACTGAATAGTATTGTGCAGGTTAGGACAGAACTCTGAAATCTTTTTAGACTTTGAGCCATATTTCGCTCCATTTTACACTGCAAGACCCTAGCTGTTTCCCCAAAAATAAGACCTAAACTGAAAGGTTTCCCCGAAAATAAGACCTAACCTGAAAGGAAGGATTTTTTCAGGAGATTCGTCATATAAGCCCTACCCCCCAAATAAGCCCCAGTTGAGTGAAACGCCACCCTCCACCCTTGTGCAGCAACCAGAAGAAGAGGACAGGACTGTATTTGAATCAATGCCGATGGTTGTACCTGGAAAAAATAAAACATCCCCTGAAAATAAGCCCCAATGTGTTTTTTGGAGCAAAAATTAATATAAGAAAGACCCTGTCTTATTTTCGAGGGAACACCATAGTAGAATACCTGTGTGTCTGCCTTCTTCTTCCCTTGTCCCCCTAAAAAATTTAAGCAGAAGATGGTGGCAGTCCTTTTATGTCCCAGCTCCCTGGCTGCAGGCCAGCCACGGGTATTGAGGAGACTCGTTTAACATTATGCCTCAGTGTGGACAGGCATTGGTTTATTTGAAAGTGAACGGCAGTTCGTACTTGAAACCTCTGGACTTTGATCTGTCGTGAGTTGAGATTAATCCCAAGATAGGAGACGTGCGTAAGGGCAAAATACAGCTGAAGTGAACATTTCCTTTCTCCCAGGGGCTGTGTTGGATCAGAAGGGCGGGCAGGGTGCATCCCCCTGAGACTTACGCACATGACGTAAACTGTGCCTTGTTGCTGCCCTTGTGAATCTTCTTGCTTTATAAAAGTGCTTCATTGTCTTCTTAAAAATTCAATTACAGAGGAAAGATTATACCGCCTTAACCAAGTTCCTGCCACCCAAACATGAGTATGTTTTAGCTGTTAGAATGACTCCCCTTCAGTGTAAACTGTATCAGTACTATTTGGACCACTTAACAGGTAAGATGCGCATGGCGTTTCGCCGCTGTTTAATGGTTTCTTTGTCTCCCTTCTGTGACGGTCTTTGGCATGTGATATTTCAAGGGCCTAGGTGTGAGGTTCTTCTTCTTCTTTAAGTCTTTGGAGCAAGGGCCTAGGTGTGAGGTTCTTCTTCTTTAAGTCTTTGGATGTGGTGTGTGGCATTTGGTGACCAAAGTTGAGATGGCCTTTATTCTGATTTTGGTGAGATGTCAGACTTATTTTGAAGACCTGGCAGACTACCTTCTGGTTACAGAAGTGAGGATTCCTTCGTGGAACTGCTGGACAGCTCCGGGGTTCAGGTCTCCAACTAGAGGTTGGAAGTTCGATTCCCCTCTTGTGCTTCTTGGACAGGGGCTGGGTTTGATGATCCAGAGGGCCCCTTCCAGCTCTGTAGTTCTAAGATGATGATTATCCACCCTCTTCCTTGGGTACCTGTCCAAACACAAGCCCATCAGATCTATCCCACGGCATCACATTTAGATAGAGTCTGTTTATGAAAGAAAAAAAAATAAACCATGTGTTTATAGGTGTTGGTCACATAGCTGTATGCCCCAGCAAGTGAATATACAAAATCTCAAGCCATAGAGAGGAAGTGAGTAGAAATGTTTTTGTCCTTTATCTTTCTTCTCCCTCGCTTCCCCTCCTGTAATGAGGCTTGGTAAGTCACCCCTAATGTAAGTCCTGTTGATTCAGGGGTTGAGACCAGCAATGGGATTTAGTCCCATATCTTGTGAGTGTCCTTTTAATCTGCAGCTGGCGGAACATGTTGAGCAATGTTAGGCTTTTAAACTGGCTTTCCATCCAAGTAGGTAAACCAGTCACTCAGTTCCCTGTATCTTAAGTGGCACACATTGAGAAATGTTACAGATTGTCAAACGTGAAAGACATGGCGAAGAGTAGAAGAAGCAGCTCATTTAGTCCCTTGACTGACCTAAGGAGATGGGGAGAGCCATATATTTGCTGAAATTGATATTATGCGGCTAATATTTAAAGCCTGACTATTTTAGTGTAACTTTTGGACTCAATTCTCAGGTGTCGGCAGCAGCGGTGAAGGTGGAAGAGGCAAAGCGGGAGCCAAACTCTTCCAGGATTTCCAGATGTTAAGCAGAATTTGGACTCATCCTTGGTGCTTGCAGCTGGATTATATTAGCAAAGAAAATAAGGTAAATCGCATCTGTTGGTCTTCGCTCCTTCAGTGAGAGGTGACTGGTGTGCCAGAATTTCGCCGAATTAATGGAAAACCTCTTTGCTTTATTTATTGTGAGCTATTGACAGAGGGTGAGGAGATACTGTTGGTAACAAAATAACTATTGACCCCAGTATTGTTTAGATAAACAAATCTTTGAAAGACTTAAGAAAGCATGACTCAGTTTAACAAAACATCTCTTACAAAAACATCCACTGTATTTTTTCAGGGCTATTTTGATGAAGACAGCCTCGACGACTTCATTGCATCAGATTCTGAGGAAACGTCTGTAAGCTTAAGTTCTGATGAATATACTAAGTAAGTTGAATTGGTCATGTCAGTGGCAAACCTATTCCCTCAGAATTAATACAATATGGTCTGCCATACATACAAGCGCAGTAAATACAATCACAGTGCGTCAGCAGGTTCTTCATAACAGTGTTAAACTTACAGGAAGAAGAAAACCAAGGGGAAAAAATCAAAGAAGGACAGCAGCTCCAGTGAAAGCGAAAGCGATAACGACGTAGAAGTGATTAAAGTTTGGAATTCAAGATCCCGTGGAGGGGGAGAAGGGAATGCAGAAGAGCCGGCAAACAACCCGCCAGCTAACGCAAAGACCGAAGAAGGTAATGAGGCAGCTTGGGCTAACCCTGAACGCCGAGAGAGAGGGTTGTGTGGGGAATTCGCACGGGCACCGTAGGGAGTGCTAGGGAAAGGGCGGCCCCGGTGGTCCTAGCAAGACCCTTTGGTCAGATCCGCCACCCACTCGGCCGCAACACCTGCGCTCTTAGGCCAAGGCGGGCAACTGTCTGGCTGTCCAGAGGTGGTCAAACCGCAGCTCCTGTCATCTTCTGCATCTGGCTAGATGAGCCAGCACGGATGGGTGTTGCATTCCAGGAGTCTGTGGCGTGTTCATGACAGTGATGGTCTTTACGGATGCCACTGGCTCGAAAGGAAGAGAGCTATCTGAGAGACCCCCTAATTTCTTCCCAAACAAATTCAGGCCAGATTTAAAATTGTAGCTCACGGTACTTCAGCAGTGCAGAGAAGCATGCAGCTAACGCTTTGTGATCCCATTTAATCTTTTGCTTTTTTTAAAAAATGACCCTTTGATGACAGATTTGGTCATTCGTGGAGCGTCTGCCTTTTTGTTTTATTTTAAAGTCTCCGTTTTGGAACAGACTCTGTTAACTCCCATGGTCTCGGTGTTTGCTCCTTTGTGTTTTTCTTTCCAGGTAGAACCACTTCCTCTTCTAACCCAGGCAGCCCAGCTCCAGACTGGTACAAGGATTTTGTGACCGATGCAGATGCGGAAGTACTGGAGCATTCTGGGAAGATGGTGCTCCTCTTTGAAATTCTTCGCATGGCGGAGGAGCTCGGGGATAAAGTGTAAGTTGTTCTTGCCCACTGGAAGGACTTTGGAACCTTCTGCCCAGGGCACATGAGTGCTTTGATTTCTTTTCAGCGTGTGCCTGTTGCTGCTTCCCTCCGCAGACACTCCACGTTCAGCCCTTTCCAGCAAAGCCGGCTTTTTAAGAGTTGGTTTGTTTAGATGAATATTTGTGCCTTCCTCTCACTGTAGTGAGTTGGTGATGTTAGTGGAGAAAGGCGACCTGATAGGTTAGTTAAGTGTGGTCACATCTGAGAACTCTCTGGTCTTTCTCTACATTCAGCTTAGTGTTCAGCCAGTCTCTGATCTCTCTGGATTTGATAGAAGATTTTCTGGAGCTAGCCAGCCGGGAAAGAGAAGAAGGCGATCCTGTAATATATAAAGGTGAGCACAGAAGCGTCACGTTTGAAGATCTGAAAAACTGTCCTTCTGTTTGCCTAAAGTGGCTTTCCTCAGGCAACTCAAGGTAAAACACCTGAACCTTTTGGAAACTGAACCGTCAGTTGGGCCTAACAGAGCTTAACTGGGTTAGCAGAATCCAGTCCAAAAGGGGAACCACTGCAATGTGACTGGTTCTTGTCCCCACTGCATCGACTAAAGGAAACAGGCATTTGGAATTGTTCAAAGATCTGTGAAAAAATTGGTTTTCCTACACTAACGGACCCAAGGATGCAGCAGAATTCCCATGCCGGTGGAGTGTTAGAAGGATGGAGGGAAACGGAAGGAACAAGAAGTAAATAATGTTTAAAAACAACGCATCTGGCTGCTACTTTTCCTTGATGAATGCTTGCAAGATTACTTTTCTGGTGTTTCAGTTTCCAAAACACAAATTCGAATGCTTCTGAGGGAAGCCCGCTTTTCTTAATTCTGTCAAAACTCTTTGATGATCTTTTAAATGAATCAACATTTTGGATAGATGATGAGCAGCTGTCTGCTACAGTTCTTCATCTATCCACATATTGATTCCCGTGCTTAAAATCTCAAGAAGGCAGTGTCGTTCTGTCAGTTTGTCTCTGTTTCGGTAATCTCCACCTTGTTCTAGTGTCCGGCTTTCAGTCTTCTTTTCCTGCTGCCTTCAGTCTTTTGATCTCTAAAGCCTTTTCCAGTGACTCCTGACTTCTCATGAGATGAGAGAGGGCCTAGGAAAGAGGTTCTTCAGAAAGGGGGGTGCTGCACAAACTACACTCAGCCATCTTTGAGTCCAGCCTGTCTGTCATCAGGACCTTAAAACCTATTTGAAATTGTCAGTTGATGATCCTCTTTAGCGGGATATATAACAGTCTTCCCTTTAAATTTCCAGGTGAAGGGAAATGGTTCAGAAACATTGATTATTACCGTTTGGATGGGTCTACCACTGCTCAGTCAAGAAAGAAGTGGGCAGAGGAATTTAATGATGTAACTAACGTCAGGTAAATACATCACCCTTTTTGGTAGGCACGCCCCTGTCCCGAGGCAGCTCATGTTGTTCCTGGTAGACTTGAAAGAGGTACCTCTTTCGCAGCCATGATAAGGTAGTTCCCTTCTCCTGCCATTCCATTCCAGCTGCATCAATACATTTCTGGATTGCTTTTAGACATCTCATTTATTTTCCTTCCTTTCTCTGTCCCCTGCTTTCGTCCCTGCTGTGACCACGATTAGTTACTTCCATTCTTAATGAGCAAAAATGCATTTGATGTTAGGGTTTCCTTTAAGAAAAGGATTCCGTCGTTACATTAAAGCCTCCCCATGGAGTTCGTGGATTACAAGGTTTGCGTCGCCATAGCCCGTGGCTCTTTGATGTGAGAGGCTTGCTATTCTCAGCACATGTTGTGTAGATTTCTGAAAACAAATGAATTCACACACTTTTTATGCTGCGTGTGAGTGGTGTGTTAGAAAGCTGCTAAATCTAACTCACGTTATAACTGAAGCACTTCAGTGTGTATTTTCTGTTTTTCAGTTCTCAGCTAGATAGACATTCTTGCGTGTGTAAATGCTTCCTTGCTTCTCATATTGAGTTGCAGAAAGAAATGTCATGTTTATTAGATTCCTCTCCAGCCGGCTAAATATTATAATAAGGACACAAAGGTTAAGAAGAAGATAGCCTTACATATTTAGCAATCCCTATTTACATACTCGGGACCTACTGAAGTTTGGAAAGTGATTTTCCCCCCTTGTGGGAAAAGGCCATGTAAAGGACTGTAGAACTGTAGAGTTAGAAGGGACTTTGGAGACTTGAGGCATCCTGGAGAGAGGCATCCATATAGATTATCAGAGTTAATACCTCGCGTGTAAGAAAGGAGAGCTCGCCACCTCTCAAGATAGGCAGTTTCACGACTAAACCCCCGATACTCTCAGGACCTTGCTTTTAGTGCGCTTCTGTCTCGCCCTGGGTTGCCAAGCCAGCCTCTGGAGCAGCTACGGAATGAATATGAATTGTCTTCAATTTTACTTCACTTTTTTCCAGGGGCCGTTTGTTTATTATCTCCACCAAAGCGGGATCCCTTGGCATAAATCTGGTGGCCGCAAACAGAGTAATTATTTTTGATGCCTCTTGGAACCCCTCCTACGATATCCAGAGTATTTTCAGGGTTTATCGTTTTGGCCAGAATAAGCCAGTGTTTGTTTACCGGTTCTTGGCTCAGGTAAGTCAGAACGGAAGGTCTTCTCGTGTGATGAGTGTCTGGGGACATGGTCCTTGTCGAGGGAAAGCATGCCTGCTACAGCCGCATGTTCATAGAAGACACAGAGCTTGGTGGATCTCCGCTGGGAGAAACTTCCACAGGTGATCCCATCCTTAGGAAGCACTGTGCACCCCTTGCCAGTCACGGCGTTCTGTTGTATTGCTAGACCAGCCAGGGAAGAGAGCATGTGTTGACCCTCTTAAGACTTGGGTGTATTCATAGGAGCACAATTGGTCCTTCAGAGAAGCTGAAAGACTTTTTAAAAAGACAGTGCCAGTGCATCTGAGATAGATGAGCTTAGAAATATACCGGTAGCCAGTGTGATGATCAGAGGAATAGTGCTGAGCATCTTGCTCTTTTAACTAGCATCCTTTCACCCACATCTGGATTCCATTGGAACTTCTCTGCCACCCCCTCCCCCACCCCTCCTGCCCCAGACGTTGCCGTAATCTAACCAGGACGTCACCAGCCCAGGAGTTAGTGGGAGCCGGTGTTTCTTTCCCCCGGAAGGATCCTAGTCCTCCAGGCAGTGGAGGAGAAGATGCCCCCAGCCTCCAGAGATTCCAGATGTTTATCTAGACATCATTTGGTCTGTGTTCTTTTGTTACAAAAGGGAACAATGGAAGACAAGATCTACGATCGGCAAGTAACTAAACAGTCGCTGTCCTTCCGGGTGGTTGACCAGCAGCAGGTGGAACGTCACTTTACCATGAATGAACTCACTGAGCTCTACACCTTTGAGCCAGACTTACTGGACGACCCTAATTCAGAAAAGAAGAAGAAAAGGGATACACCGATGTTGCCCAAAGTAAGAGAATGTCCGCTTGGCTACTGGCTTGGGCGGGGTGTCCTGCGTAACCACCCTCCACTTGCAGGGCTTAACATAACGCTTCCATCGTGGTTAGTTGCCCATGGCTATTAACCAACAGTGAAGAGAAGAGACACACCACTACAACCTTTCTACACATTTTTTAAAAATCTGTGTTATTTATTCTTAAAAATAGATTCGGTAGCTTTCTTGGAGCAAAGCTGTTTTTTTAAGGAGAGCGGTCATCATTGCTCCCTTGGCAGAAAGACATGGTAGCTCATTTCAGTGGCATGCTGCCACCTTTTAAGACGTTGGCATAGGTATTTCTTGTCACACATCAGTAGTATCACTAGACACAAAGCAGCTAATTCTTACGCTGACTTCTCAACTTGTGGCCATTTGCTGCTAGAATTTATCCCCATGGAGTTAGAGGCCGCATGATTTTTTTAGTTGGATTCAGGTCACAGTGTCTAGATCATATAATCTGTACGCAAGCTTTTAAAAGTAGGAGATATGGGGGGTGGGGTTGGGAAATAGTTGTTTGCCAAAGTTCATGCTATCATAAATCTGTTAATAATCATGGGCCATCGAGTCAATTCTGACTTATGGCAACCCTTTTCAGGTTTTTTCCAGGGAGAGAATATTCAAATGTGCTTTACCCTTCCCTTCCTCTAGGGGGCAACCTTGGGGCTGTGCAGCTTGCCCAAGGCTACCCGGGATGGCTCTTCTCCCTGGAGGGACTTCCAACCTTCGGCTCCACAACCAGAGACCTAAACCACTGGGCTGTCCATCCAGTTAGATGTCTTAAGTGTGCCATGCAACTCTCTTTGTTAGTGTACTTAATAGATTCGCTCACCATTTCTTTATTTTTACAATAAGTTGTAACTTACTGTTCCAGTTTTCACTCAGATTGTTGTTGGTGCTGGTTCTGTAACTTGTCTAATATCTTTTAAAGTTACAAATGTGGGAGGCGACAGAGACAGCTGTGGCAGTATAAGCAGCAACATCCTCCAAGTGCCAAAAAAATTTGATGTTTTTGCTCTAAATCTTTCTACAAACCTTTTCAGTGGAAACATATTTTGAATTGTTGAGACGGCTGGGTTTTTACCCACCCCTTCTCTTGAAAGTGTTAGTTTTAACCTTCCATGATTTGACCTTTATTGAATACAAATTGCATTTCAGACAAAAGAAGGCAGATCTACCCAGTCGGCTATAATTTAAACCACATTTTGATGACTGTATTGGCGTGGTGTGGATGGATCAAATTGCACTGTATTCATATTGTTGCCATAGCAACTAATGCACATGCATGTTCAGGAACTCCCCAGTCATTTAAGCGCTGCTCTGTAGACTGTAGGGGAGTGCTCGTTGTGCTGATTTAATTTTATGAATCTGGCCCTCTTCTTTCTTTTTAGCCTACATCTACACAGGATTATTGCCTCCATTTTCTGCTTCTTCCCCAAACACCCTTGAATTGCTCTTTTGTGGGTTTATCGTAAAGGTACTATTCATGGTGCATGCGCCGTTTAACCTCTGAGAATGATGACCAAGGCATCTATTCGCCTTGAGGTAGAGATCCATGTGAACAGCCGTTTGCTCCTTACGTATCCCGTCTGCCCATTCACTTCCAGGGAAAGAATGCCTTCCACTGCGGATGTATTTATGGAGCTGCTTCATTGCTGAGTGGGAAAATTCTGTGCTGCCAACCTCTCCAGTGCACCCTCAGAGCAGATCCTTAGACCCATCATCCTCCCAAGCCTTATAGTCCTAACTAGGCTGTTTACCCTCTTTCTGGGGCTCTTTCGGGTTACATGCCAGGTGTGCTGACTCAGAATACCTTAAGGCTGACTCTAGAACAGAGCTGGGGAATGCCAGTGGTGTTGGGTCTCCCCGTCCCTTTCAGCTCCAGCTTGTCTGACCCGTGGGGATGAATGATTGGCAGTCTAGTTCATGAAGTCTTTTGCATTGTTCCAGAGTGTTTTGGGATGTTTCAGAATCTTTTTGTGGGTGGTACCCAACCCCAAGATCTGTGGATGAACAAGTTAGAAATGCATCAGTAAACAAGCGTCTTGTGGAGCGCAATGGAAACGAGAAGATTGAGACGACAGATTGTGTACTAATCTGCACACAAATGAGTTGCTTTCCATATCCATTTGTGAGACCTGCCTCTGCTCCAAAAGGGTCAGAATTTGGCCCTTGCCCTTTGGCTTACTGGGTGCTTTTTTATCTTCTTTATCTGCCAGGATACAGTCCTAGCTGAACTGCTTCAGATCCAGAAAGAACATATTGTGGGCTATCATGAACACGATTCTCTCCTGGACCACAAAGAGGAAGAAGAGCTGACGGAAGAGGAGAGGAAGGCTGCTTGGGCCGAATATGAAGCTGAGAAGAAGGTTAGCGCACTTTAAGGCATTTAGAGCCAATACATTATGGCAGTCCAGCGCCTCTTGGCTGCAGTCCTGCAGCCAAAACTGCTCCTTACCCACCAAGGTTCAATCTCAGATAGCCAGCTTGAGGTTCACTCAGCCTTCCATCCTTCTGCGGTCGGTAAATTGAGTAGCTAACTTGCTGGGGGGTGGGAGGTGACAGTGCGTAGCCTGCATATTTAAATTGTAAATTGACCTGAGAGTGTTTTAATCACTACAGGGTGGTATATAAGCTGCATGCTTTTTCTTCTTCTTCTATCTAGATCAGGGCAGGTGTGGTTGAAAAAAGAGATTCACTCATCCCTGAATATTGTTTATGCAGCTTGTAGTCCAGCACCTCTAGGGCCCCCCTCCCCGGTCCCGAACCCTGCTCCACTTGTTCAGTGTCCTGGGATTGTCTGAGAAAATGACATCCTTGAGCTTCCAGCATAGACAGCCTTCTGAAGACACGTTCAGGCCCGAGACCCAAGAAATGTCTTTATGAAAGTGGTTCTACTGGAATGCTTTTTAGAAGAGAAGAGTATTTTATTGTTTTCATCCCCATTCTGCTCTCCGTTACCAATGAATTGGCAGAGAAACGCTGCTCTGCGTGAAGCCTATTGGAAAGAATCCCCAAACAAAATACAAATAAGCAGAAAGTAGGCCGCATCTTGTTTTTGAGTATATTTCTTGGATGCCACATTAAGGCATTTGCCGCCATTGCACGTTGAGTTTGGGGCTTAAACAAAACTGCACAACATGGACAGAAATATTTACAGACACTGTTCAGGATGTTTCCCCCAATGAATTGGCTACAGAACAGCTTCCTTTCAAGATACCTGTTTGTAAATAAAGAATATCAAACCCGGAATGACACTGACTAGGAATGACTAGGTGGCTGTTTGAAGATATGGAAAGCAAGCTTAATCCAGGGCTGTGGTCTTTTTGATGAACTAGGACTTCCTTACAAAATGGTGAAGAATTTGTGTTTGGAACTCATTCAGTTTCCTTTATTGTTAATATTATTTTGTCCATAAAGTTGATAATATGAAGGCCGTTGGTAGATGAAACATGCTTACTCTGCCCCTTCCACCAGATCAACAATTAGATCTTGTTTACTTATTTCTCTGTGTTACATGCCCTTGGGTTGCCTCTGACTTACGGTGGCCCTTAATAAGGCTTTCTAGTTGTATGAGAGATGTAAGGAGCAATTTTACCATGACCACGCATAGCCGAGCAGGGATTGGAACCCAAGCTCGTTCCCCCATCCCACAACGCCACACTGGCTTTCGTCTTATCTCTATTGTGGACCCTGTGCTTTCCAAGTCAGAACTGAGTTGTAAGGATGCCCAGCAGGGCTTTCCACAGTGAGATGTTTAAGGAGTGGCTTTACCCGTTCCACACTTGCACAGTGAGTTCCCATGGCCAAGTGGGGATTCGAACCCAGGCCTCCTGAGTTCCTAGTGGCACTCTATCCAGGCTGGGTGTCCGACTTATTTCTAGGCAGGACTAAATGTTGGGCTGGTTTGTGGTGGTGACTTTAACACTTAGAAGGGATCTGCTAATGTTCTAAAGTCTTCCGGTGTGAATTCTCAAAAGCATCATCATCTCTCTCTATTCCAGGGCCTGACGATGCGCTTCAACATGCCAGCAGGGGCAAATACCTACAACCCTGGCTACAACTCCCACGCTCAGTATATCCCCTTCAATCTGCAAGCCTTGTCATCGATGAGCAATCAACAGCTGGAGGTGGGTAGGCGGAGACGATGGCAGGATCCGGGCCAAAAAGAGTAGTTCTTTAATTATTTGGGGCCAGAAATGAATAGTAGTTTAATGGTAAATTCACAAGGGTCCATTTTAACAAAAGGCCAAGGGTACAGACTTGACTCTCAAGCGAATTACAGTTGGACCTACATAGCTGCCATGGAGGAGCTGTTCCAACTCTTGCATCCCCCACACCAAGGGTACAGACTTGACTCTCAAGCGAAATACAGTCAGACCTACATAGCCATGGAGGAGCTGTTCCAACCCTTGCCTCCCCCGCAGATGCTGAAAAATGCAGATTAAAGCAAACACTATTATAATAGCAACTGATATGCATAGTATGGTCTCTGAGTCTCTCTAGTGCCCAGTTCTGGTCACTTCACCATTAAAAATATAGATTTGGGGGATTTAAAAAAAACATATGTTCAGACCATGGATAGGCGAATCAGCCGATAGTGATCTCACGGATAAGGGGGTCCCACTGTGTTTGGTAACTTGACTGACCTTCTCCACATAGCCATGGGCATGACGTGCTTTCCATGCGATGGTCCCTTGTAAATGTATAAATGAATGCTGTGCTTCATGTCACGGCAGAGAGATGCCAAACAGAGTTGAAAAGAACCCTGACTCAGTCTTTCTGGTTTTAAAAAATTCTTCCAGGACCTCATTAATCAAGGCAGAGAAAAAGTTGTGGAAGCAACAAACAACGTGACCGGAGCAAGAATTCAGCCCCTGGAAGATATCATTTCTAGCATAGTAAGTAAAGGAATGCATAACATGAGTCACTTTTGTTTGGAGGTTGTGTATATTTTTTTAAAAAAACTGCCATCAGGTAAAACTACCTGGCTATAAATTGCATTTAGGGGATACTTGTTCTATTCCTCATGCAGAAATGCTGAACCTTATTCTTAAGCCTATAACCCAATAGAATGTGGACAGCCACAATCTCTTAATTGCCAGTTTTGGTTAAAGCAACAACTCATTTGAACTCAGTTGCCACGGGAGAGAGAGAATTTTATGAACGCACAAGCTAAGCCAAAGTGAAGCAATTTGAATTCCAGTAGCAGAGACTTGAATACATTCTTCATTCTGTGAGTCTTCCTGTGGATCTTTTGATCCATTTCACGTGGTGTATGTGGTCATGAAGCAGGCTGATTCACCGATCTGCCTGCTACAGCCCCGGTTTTGATGAGCGGTAGAGGCCTGTCTTTTTCAAACTTCACGTTTGAAAAGCTCCCGACCCAAAAATTAACCTGCCCTCCCATCAGTGACTGAGCGAAGGGGTGAAACTGTCATTTGTTAAAGGTTTAGAATTCTGGAACCAGACCAGGATTAAGTTGTCCCTGCACAGTTCTAGGTATTACAGGTCTTGGGTGGTTTTCGTTTCCTTTTAGCAGATAATGAGTTTTTCTCCCCAGCTTCGTGAGGAACACATAGAGAATGTTAAGTTTCCATTTCTACAGTATGTTCAGGGATCTTCACCTGTTGCTTCCTTTTGGTTAGAGGGGAAGAGCCAGCATTCCCACCGGCCATGGCCAGGATCCTAAGGCAGAGCCTAAAGGATGCCGGCCGTAGTATATTCTGCAGGGGAAACTCTTGAGGGCAGTGGACACAGCCTAAGCCCACTTTGAACAGGCCCTGCAGACACTGACAGCCGGGGGGATCCATGGAAGACGAGTGTTGCCCAAGGAAGGAAAAAGCAAAACCGCCTCTGGCTCGATCCAGAGGGGTGGGTTTGCAGCGCCTCCATCGAGTCGCCTGCTGGCGGAATGGCTGCATTCTGTTAGAGAAGCGCTCGAGAGCAGGAGCCCGTCCCTGCAAGGACTACTCTCCAACCCTGGGCCTTGTTTTCTTCTGCAGTGGAAGGAGAACCTGACCCTCACAGAATCCCAAGTCCAGGCTCTCGCGCTCAGCCGGCAAGCAAGCCAGGAGCTGGACGTCAAGCGTCGGGAGGCCATCTATAACGACGTCCTGACGAAGCAGCAAATGGTAAGGGCCTGGGCTGCCTCTTGGGCGCAGCAGTGGAAGGAGGCACCCGGAAAGAGCGCCTTCAGGGAGAACCCGTGAACCGCAGTGCTTTTTCCAAAAAGCACCTTCACTCGCGGTCCTCCTCTGAACCTGATAGCACCACCGTACGGTGTGCCCGCAGCAGTTCGTCTGTGCCCGTTTGCCACCCTGCTATTTTTCAGACTTAGGTTGGTGGGAGAGGCATCTTTCTCACCTGGGCGGGAGATCCTATAGCATTGTTTATAACCAAGTAAGTAAGAAGAGCACTAGTGTGGCAGGTGGAATGAGTAGTGAACTGGGTAGCACGCACACAGGTTCGTGCGCACGCACACACGCACACACCCGTTCAAATCTCACCTCTTTGCTGCTGTGGGCTTAGTGGGAAAGGACTTTAGGTGAGCATCTTGCTTCCTCCCTTCCACCCTCCCCCCCCCATCTGTAGCGTGGGAATAATAGGGGAATAACCGTTTGAGCACAGAAGGCCTTGGGCAAGCCTGCCTTCAGGTACTGCTGTAAGAACTATTTGGGGGACCCTGAAATGCTTTGCATGTTTAAGCACAGCATGGGAATCGTTGCCCTTCTGTCGTGATCTTTTAATTTTGTCGTCTGAAATTGCTGTGAGGACATAGCAGGGGAGGTACACAGGCATGACAAGCCCATGCGCCACCAGCACATGGGATTGGTAGTCCTTCAGGGTAGCGGAGAGAAATCCATGCTTTTATAAATAAGATGGAGAGAGGCAGAGTTGAAATCCTCCGGTGCCAGACTTCCCTGATGTTCTTTCCCAGATCCTTTCCTTGCCAGCCAAATACTTCTTTTTTTTCTGGAAAGCTTTGCTTCTCGGCACCAAGGAATTAACATCTGCTAACAGGCCTCTTCGTTAAAGTCTTGGAGGGCTGTGTGGTTTCATGTTATTGCAGGAAATCTGAAACTTTTCAAGGAGGCGTTTGGTCAAGCTGGAAGCAGGGTTCCCCACCACCCCCACCTTTTGATGTTTGCCACAAAACATTTGTTTGGCACCGCCTGTTAGACTTTTCATAGGGGTGGCTAAAGGACCAGAGGAAAGAGCGCAGGGACTGATCTGTGGAGCCCTTTTGGCAAGGGAGAGCTGTCCCCACCCCCGAGAAAGGTTGCCTGCTGCACCGTGGGCAGTGGCCCCCCCCAGATTGGTCCTGCTTGCTTCACGCATCCCTCCTGTTGCCGGCTCGCAAATGCCACCGCATTAGTGATGGCGACAGCAGAGCTGCAAGTATCCAGTTTTAGGGTCAGAATCAATTTGTCAGGGAGACCGTGGCGGAAAGGAAAGGCCTCTGCCCTGGTGTAACCGCTCCGCTTCCACCCCCTCCTCCCCCCCCCAACAGCTCATCGGTTGCGTCCAGAGGATCCTGATGAATCGCCGACTCCAGCAGCAGTACACCCAGCAGCAGCAGCAGCTCTCCTACCAGCAAGCCGCCATGAGTCTGATGATGCCAAAGCCTCCCGGTTTACTCATGAACCCTAACAACTTCCAGCAGATAGATATGAGAGGAATGTATCAGGGCGCTGCCGGCGTGATGCATCCGCCCCCTTTACAGCGGGCACCTCCTCCGCTGAGTGGCAAAAACCCAGGACCATCCCAAGGGAAATAAATGTGATTTTGCACTAAATGTTTAAAGGATTGTTAAAATCGGGGAGAGAGAGAGAGAAAGAGAGAGAGAGAGAACTTTTTTATTTTTTTAGGAATCAATGGCTTAACAGAACTCAACCGTATAAATAGTTTGGGCGATTCTCCCTTCCCCTTTAGTTTTGCTTTGGTGATGTTTTCCGTGGATATTTGTCAGCGATGTTGCCTAGAATCTTCTTACATGTGTTCAGTACAGGAGATAACAAGTTGTTTTCAGTGAAAACAGGTCATTTCCTAACCTAAGGGGGCCGCGCAGGTTTCCTGTTTCAGCTCCGACATGTGCTGTTGATAGCCATACGACAACCATCCAGGGAGAGAAGCTTGGGAAAGTTATCACAGGTCTGTATATTTCTGTCACCCCGTGCAAACGTGCGCTGCTGAGTTCTTGGTTACAGTTGATTCCTCAAAAGGCAAAATGTTTTCTATTCCTTCACAAAATGTGAAATTCAAGTCAGGACAGGACGGATACCGGAGGCCTCTTCTGCTTCTTATCGTTTGTGACAGGAAAAATAAACAGTAGGAACCGAAAACAATCTTGAAACAGAACTGAGTGCAATATTCTTTAAATACTACTGCTCTGAAACTCCCAAGTCAAGCAGTTTTCTGGAAACTGTGACTGCAGCCTTAAGTTACAGCCTGAGAAGATGCTGTTTTCTCTCTAGCCTTCTGCCACTTCGGTTTCATCTTGGGTGATGAAATAACGTCCGGTGACCTTTTTATTCATGTCCTTCCATCCTGTGCTGATCCTGGTGCCGAGCACATCTCTGTTGACTCTTTTCTACCGGTGCTAGCGTCTCATCCTGTTGCCGGCAGTAGGATGGGAGGCTGAAAGGCCTATCAATTCCTGAAGCTTTGGGGCCGAAAGATGATGGCAGTGGTTGGGGTTGAAACACCCACCCACGCACCCTGCTTCAACAGAGACAGCCCTGGAGTAGCCAAAATATTGCGCGAGCTCTCTGTCTCGACATGTAAAGGAATGTACTCGCACAGTTTGCAGTACGGACGGAATTGTGGAAGCGTTCCTCCTTTTACAGAAAAGGAGCATCTCTGGTTACCCCACCTCTGTTTCCCATCTTGTTTTTTACTCTTTTCAGAGAAAAACAAAAATGCAGGGGGCATCAGCGTGGAAGTAGATCTGTTTGCGTTTTCATTTGAGCCTTGAGTAAGAAGAGGTAAAACTCTGATCAGTTACACTTCATTAACTGCTCCTTGGCCATGTTCAAAGGAGCAAGTCATCCATTTCCTATTAGTAGAGGGACCCAGAGGGGCCTCCTAGCGCTCTCCCACATGTTCGTGTACCTGATGTTTCAGAAAGAGAAGGTTTTCTTTTTTCGATATGTCGGCATAAAAATGAAGTGCCGATGAATACTTTTGCTTGGAGGTATCGGAATAAGAAAACCAGCCAGAGTTCGGAGGGAAGTGGAGTGGGGAATGAGTTCCAGAAAAAAGCAAACCTCGTCGATCTATCTAGCCAGAAGGTTTGACTCCCTGAATCAATTTGGAAGAATATTTTGCTTTTTTTTTCCCCCACGCCCCCTTAATTGAATGAATCTCTGCAACCACACGACTGATAATGCAGGGGAAATAACTTCATTTTGAAATGGTTGTTGTTTGGTTAGGAACAGGCCTTTGTATTTTGTGGCACAGTCAATTCATGAGTTGTTTTAGCTTTGTGTGTGTGAGTGTGATGGGACATGGAGCGTATGCTTTACCTCCCGTTCATGCACTAGTGTAATTTGATCCATTTATTCAGTTTGGCAAGAAAGGGGGGGACCCCACAGGTGGTTGTTCGTACCAGAAGAATTTAAAGAGACACAAATATTTGAAGGAGAAATTAACCACCCAAGGACATTCCTACTTTTTCTGAATATAGCTGGGGATTTGAGTGGCATTTTTACAACTAAAAGAGACTGAGGTGTGGAAGTTTTAGGCAACATTTTCGAAGACACATTTTGTTTCACACACAACAGAAGAGACAAGCTAACGCCTACAGTGATGTCTTAGGGACAAAAAAAAATTGCATTGAAGTAAATAAAAGTCGGACCATTTTGCATATGTATTTCTCACTTGACATTATAGCTGCATAATAGCGTGCTTTTGAGTATAACATCAAGCTTTAACCAATATTTAAAGACAGGAAATGGCATCCATAAAAATCTCATTTTTATATTTGTTTTAGATGTTTTACCTAGTTGAAACTGCTTATATAAGATGATGAATAAAAAGAAATGTTGCTTGTAATACAGTTTTGCCTGCTAAATTCTCCACATTTTGTAACCTGTTTATTCCTTTGGATGTAAAGCGTTTTTTGCTTAGTATTGTGATACTGTACATGTTTTTTGTCCCCGTTGTATAGTACTGTTTGAGTCCCTTGACCAGCTTTGGCTGCTGAAATCATACAGCTGTGAAGACTTGGCCTTTGTTTCTGTTTAGATGGCTTTACGTATGGAATATCATAAAAGTACTGTAGAAAAGATGTCACTTCTTTCTATAAGGCTGTTTTGTAAAATACATATTAAGGACTGGAAACGTGTTTTTAAAAAAAGAGAAGCATTCAAGTATGGACAGTATGCTATCTGTGTTTTCACCATTCAAAGTGCTGTTTGGTAGTTGAAATTTAAAACTATTTAATATCTCATTTAATAAAGTGACCAAAATACCTAAAACCTTCTGTAGCCCTGCTTTATTAAACGTACAGGTGTGATACGGATTGTCCGATGCGTGGGGAAGAAGCTTGAAAGAAGCTCTTCTTGAAAGACCATGAGCCAGATGGTCCAAGGGGTTTGCATCATCTTGTTGAAGCCAGGGCTTTCCAGTGACTGGACACCTACTCGGTTAGTCAGCAGAAGGCCAAACCATTCAACCCTTGCTTTCCATTTGCTACCACGGGGAGGGGGGTGCAGAGGGATGGCGGATGGATTTGCCGGCTTGACTTCTGAGCAAGGATTACGACGAACTGAGAGGAAACCAAAGACTGGGCGGCTGTGAAAATCAGGTAAGTCTGGCGTATAAAGCCAAGCATGTTCTGTAAGTTACCTTCAAGTCGCTCCCCATTTATGGGGACCGTAATCAGTTTTCAGGCTACAAGAGAAGCTCAAGGAATGCTTTGCCCCTGTCTCCCCCACCCCACTGGTCTTCCCAGTACCTCGTTCTGTGGAAACGCAAGCCTGATGAGATTTGTTTGAGGGTTTCTAGAGCGGTGGATTTGGGCACAAGAGGCAACTGAGGCTTCTTTCTCCTCTGATGACACATGGTGGAAATTGAGGGTGGAAATGTACTAACCATACAGAGATGTTGCCTGGCTGGGCCGTGTTGGCCAGACATTGTGAAGAGTATTGCACGCTGGCCAGTTAGCTTCCAAACAGTTTCGAGCAAGCAGCTGCTCTGTAAAAGTCTTAACACCCAAAAGGGGATTTTTCAAAGGAACTCATTAGCTATTTTTCTTCCTAAAATAAACCTGATGCTTCCTGCATGCACTGTCAAGCTGCAGCCTCTTCCCACCAAATGTTTAGAATAGATAGGATTAACAATGATTATTTGGCTACTGGTTGCAAATTGCAAGAGACCCAGCGTGACAGGTGCAATCTCCATCGGGCTCCACGCCAATCCACAACCTTGGTTTCATTCCCGTACAATTCCTCAACATCCGTATCTTCATGTCCTGTGTCCTTTATGTTACACATCACCCATCAACAGAGGTGAAATCTGGTCAGGGTTACAGAGATGGTGGACGCAGTTCTGAGAATCAAGCTCCTTTGGCAACGGTCACACAGAGATCCCTCCTCTAAGGACAGTAAAAGATCATCCCCATTGGATGCGTGGATGCTCAGCCCTGCTGGCCTCCCTTCCGCCTCACTTATGCTTAAAAGTTCTTTACTGTGGTCTCTGTGAAATTATACATGTTGGTTGTCCCACGCCTGCATGGACAATCTTGGAATCTTCTAGAGCCCGCAAAAGTGTTAGGACACACCCATCCTCAACGCATGTGCTTCCCACGGCGCATGTACACGTCCCAGTTCTCTTTCTGGGCTTTGGTGGTGACAGCAGGTCTGTTGGTAATGGAGTTTCATGTTTGAACAGAATCGAGCCCCCAGATCAAGGATGGCTCAGGGGAATGGATGGGAAGGTCAGGTGGCCGGAAGCCAGCAGCTTCTCATTCTCTCTAAGGGTGGGTCATCATGATTTCGCAGGAGGTTGCCTCCAGAAGGGCCATTGGATGAAATAAGCAGCTCTGTGGGAAACAGCAGCCTTCTGTAGCAGTGTGGGAAGGACCAAATCCAGCACACACACCCTGAATCAATGGCGCTTACAGAAGCATTGATGCATTGATGTACCAAGTTCCAGGGACTTGGAGGTTCCACACTCACTGGAACTTAAAACTGAATTTAAGCCTTGGTTTTCTGGAAATTTGTCAAGGGTGGGAATCACAAGCCATTCTCCAAAGAGCAAATACATACCATTCTCTTGACATCTTAATATTGCAGATGGAGAGACCAAGCGCAGGAGAAGATGCATTTGCTTAGTAAGCATAAACCAAGAAGACCTTGGAAGTTTGAGATTGTGGCCAAAACGGTGAAGCGCTGTTACGCTAAACCTATCAGTCTAGGTTTTACCTTTCAGTCATGTTACCTTGATTTAAGAAATTTATCCTCTCCCACATGAGATATCTTTTTATTTCCTACTTGTAGGTATATTTCATCTCTCTTTTGATCTTAATTCGAAAAAGGATTGCAATTGGAATAAATTAGCAAGCCACCCACAATATATAAAGACAATTTTATTGCCAATAAGCTCTGAAAACTCACTTCTCCCTTTGTTCCTATTCCAGTAACTTGGGCCATAATATCTCTCTTTTTAAAAAATAAAATAGAATTTTGAAATAAATAAATATATAAAATAAATATCATATACACTTTATAAATAGATTTCTCCTTATGAACAGTTATCATGTTTACATCTTTAAAAGGTTAGCTCCCTGACCCCGTTCCTTTCTGCTCTTAAGCTCCCTATAGCAGGAAACACACTCATGCATGCATGCACGCACACACTCACAGGTATGCCATGCATGCACATGCCTGCACACACTCCCTCCTTCTCAGGACCTGGGGTTGGAAAATGTGTTATTTGGCTTGGATCATTTCGGCTCTCCGGTCCTTGTTCCCACCACGGAAGTCTGTGAGCTCAAGAAACTGGTCAAGGCTTCTTGTCCGAGAAACATCTCGTGAGTCCATTAGGGCCACCAGATGAAAACCCAAGTAGCCAATAGGAGAACCATATTATCGGAAAGCCCTCCCTTAATAAGTAACCACAACTCCAGGTTTGCCAACCGGTACGCAAGTCATTTCTACGGTCCTCTGCCTTGCGGTCGGTCTCAGTTGTGTAGATGAGAATCAGCGCTGCTGGTGGTTGTCATCTCCGAAACCGTTTCCTCTCCATGTGTCATCGTTTGGATTTTTCCTAGCCCACCAGGTAGAGAAAACCTCGGAAGAAGCCCACGATGATGGCTTGGGATCGAGGCTCACCTTTTCCATCCCATCTCACAGGAGTAAACACAACCTTGACACATGCTTTGAAGGAAAATCCTCTTAGGTGCCCTTCTGTCTGTTATCTCGATTTGATAGGAAGGCTGGAATGACTATGTAATACAGTGTTCCAGAGGAGGAAGAGAAAGAGAGAGAGGGAGGGAGGGAGGGGAAAAAAACCCTTGCCAACCCAAGAATATATACACTGGCTGCTTGATCTTCCGACAGCATCACCTGTAGTGCAGGAGATCTCTGTATGGTGCTGGTGTTTTAGCTGGCTCTGCAGGCCTTGGTAAAAAATGAGTGAATTTTTGGTGTCTTTTAGTCCTATATCCTTCCCGAGGGGAGCCATCCCTGTTCAAAGCCACGTAATACTGTCGCTCGGAGTCCGAGTGTTTGTACAGAGTGGAAGCATAGGTGTTGTACCAGTTTTCTTCAAACTGCTCTCGGAAGACACACTCTCTTGTGAGCTTCTTCTGTGAGGCCAGGCGGAGGGGATGGGGGAGCAGAAAAAGACAGAAGGAAATTGTGAAAGACCACCCTGTGCCTCTAAAATCACCTCTCCCAATGCAAGTCAACCCAACCTAACCCAACTCAACCCAACCCAACCCAACTCAACCCAACCCAACCCAACCCAACCCAACCCAAGTGAATGGTTTTCCCTCTATTCTTTCTTTCTTTCTTCTTCTTCTTCTGAAGAACTGATTTGTCAATTCAGGCAGACTCTGGACTATTAAAAACATGCAGAGGAACCCCACAGAGGTGCAACAGGTTGATCTGACGTGTAGCTAAGTGAGCCCTGGCACAACAAGGGCTGTCAATGATCCCTTTGGGGTGAGAGTTTGGGTGTGGTTTTGTTTTTCCCCCGTGGCTGCTTTTTTATGGTCAAATCCACCTTAAAGGCCACTGAATGGGGAGAAAACCGGAAAGCATTCTCTTCTGCTTCCCAACAGATGAGTAGAGTGCCTGAGACTTAAATCCAGTTCCTAGTCAAAACCAAAGTAAACCCCACTGAATAAAGGGAATTTACATAGGTGCTGATTTAGATATCCATCAGTTTAGTCACTGGCCGAAATCCCATACTTGTAAAGGGCACTCGCGGGATCGCTTTTCCTATGTTTCAGGTGGCTGCCACCTCAGTGGTTGGGCGACCTAAGAAAACACCCCTTACTATGGCAGACAGCCTGGGGAAAAAGCTCACATGGTTTGCTAAATGCTCAGATCATAGAATCTCAGCTGAAAGGATGCTCCTCTAAGACCCAGCCCTTGTTGATCTCTTCTTGAGCTGCATCACTTCAGACTGGACCTCTACTAAGCCTGGAGCAAAATCCCTACATGTAGAAAGCTAGTGCATAAAGGTGGAAGCTACACTTGCTCTCACCTCCCTGACTTTTCGTTTGCTCTGTCGATCATGGTTTTGCATGGAAGGACGTTCAGTCCTACGAGCTACCAGCTGCAAAACTGAAGCGAAACAGTTCAGAAACAGGGTTCCCGTGTTGGGAAGTGCCAGATCAACCTCAAACGGAGCACATGCTGCTGGAACGGGCAGGGAGAGAGCAAAACGACCCTGGAACACAGTATTCCAAGAAGCGACTGAACCACAGAGTGAGTTCATGCCCTCAGGCGGTAGCGACACCCTGCAGTCATAGCCCTAATTTAGTTAAGACCTGGAATGCCCAGCTGACACGGCATTTCTGCCACACCAGCATCCATGTGAGCCCCTGGCTGAACTCGAGAGTAGAACCTCAGTCTCAGTAGATCTCATGCGAGGGCGGATTTTCAAAAGTCAATGTATTTCATCCATTTCTGAGAGCTTTTCAGGAATGCCCTCCCTCTCATGGCATAAAAGCAACACAACCTACTTGTTAACAGGGAGAAACACATTTAAAGGATGCTGGCTAGGATTCCTCTTGGTGATTTACATGGGTGCAGATTGCCTAACTCACACAAGCTATTGATGAATGAGGTGCTGGTTGTGTTGTGAGCTGGAAAACCAAGCCCTAGGAGGAAAGGCGGAAAGCACTGGGTGTGGTTAGCCTTGAGGAAAGAAGACACTATGGGGAGGTAGGAGAGAGCTTCTCAAATATTTGAAAGGTACTCCTTCAGAGGAGGGGCAGGATCAGTTCTCCATCGTCCCAGAGTGCGAGGCACGCAACAACGGGCTCAAGCGACAGGAAGACAGAATTTGGCTGACTTATCAAGAAAAACCTCCTAACTGCTAGAGCAGTATGATGAAAGCAATGACCTCGTGTGTGTGTGTGTTGTGTGTGTGTGTGTGTGTGTGAGCGATCCCACACTGGAGGCCTTCAAGAGAAACTTGACAATCACCTCTTGAAGGATCTGCTTTGGCTTGGATGGCCTTCCAACGTCATGATTCTATGAGCAGATTGCACACCTCGGGGCGCCACTGGCCCCTTCTTAAGTGAGCAGCAGTGGATCACGGTGGTTTATGCCATTTCAATTTATGCATGTGTAAATCACCCAGAGGAATCTGGCTTTGATGTTTCAAAGTCCCTCGAGTCGTCCTTTCCGAAGGATCTTTCTCAGTAAAACCAAAATGTGCTTCTATTATACGCAGCTACCACTGAGGGTCCAGACAGCTTGCCAAATCCATCAAGACTAACCACAAAAGATATCATGGGTGATTTGGGGGGCATCGTCCTGGACAATACTGTATACCAGATGGATGGGAAATAAATGAAATGAAATGAAATCAACCAACCAACCAACCAACCAACGGGGCATCGTCCTGGACAATATACCAGATGGACGGGATATAAATCAAATCAAATCAAATCAAATCAATCAATCAATCAATCATCAATCAATCAATAAGGATCATCATAGAGATGCACACCTCCAGCATCGTGCTAAAGAAGTGACATTCCACCCACCCACTGTTCAGGTTTACACTTACTGATCCATACAGCTCTCCTCTCTCATTCATGCCGAGGTAAAGTCCAGAATCCACCCCGCGGATGCTGACGAGCCCTACGGCCAAGATAATGAACTCCAGGATTCCTTTATATATATAAAAAAATGCACATAAAGAATAAAATAATGAGTTATTTAAAGAATGCAAATACTCCTGCTCTGAGTTGGGGAGGGGGATCATAATAGCAAACAGTGCCTTTCTAAAGCAGTCCAGACTTTACACCTTGCTAAATCACAGGTAAGGTTCTTCTCTGTCTCAAATGTACCAGATGGGAAAGCTTTTCTCTGCGAAAAGCTGGACGCATCGGAGGAAGGCCACAGATAAGGAATAGAAGCACTCCTGTCCTATGGATAAGCTCCTTCCATGCTGGGCGCTGACACTCTTGAGAAGTCACCCACGTTGGCTAGATGGATATTAAGCATGGAAGTGCTGAGTATTCATCAGTGTTGCGGAAAGAGAATAAACGGCAAGAGGAGCTTTTGCTCAGTGAGTTGGGAACAGAGGCCAAGAGGCATGAAAAGAGATTAGAAGCATCTGTCGAGACCTGCCAAGCCCCTGCCCCCTTCCGACTCATTCTCTCGGTGCCAACTTGTGCCCTGTGCCTCGAAACCTCAGAGAAAAGCCAGGGAGTCACAGCAAGCCGTTTCTCCATGGGCAACTTGTCACCCAAGCAGAGACGGCACCTTCCAGACCTACAGGAGGAGGAGGAGGAGGACGCCCCACCTCTGGCTGTGAGTCAGCGATGTCCCATACCCTTCCAAGATTCAAGAGAGAAGGGTCCACTGAAGCCAGGAGGCAGGAGAAAGGATCTCCACAGTTTGTCAGAGCAGGGCTCGCAGATGCCAGCTGCACTTCTGTGGCCAGTATTCCTCTGTGCACAGAAGAGGGAGAGCTGCGTCCCTCTAAAGTTCCCCGCCCCCTGCCATGGAGCCAGGAGTTTCTGATCACAAAGGGACTACAACGCCACGATCAAGCACCTCTTCCCTCTCAGCCTCCACTGTGCTAGGGAAAGAAGTGGCTTTTTCCCAGGTACAATATATCCCACCCAGCTGTCTCTGTTGCCGTACAAAGTATTTGAGGTTGGTTTGGACTAGGATGGGCAGTCAGGAGCCATTGGCTTTACAAAAGACCTGCTCCTCATGTGTTGATGTGGACAGAGGCTGGCGCTTGTATTTTTGGACTCCCTTTTCTAGTGGGGAGGCTATATGGGGGCTGTCATGATCATTCCTCATGATAAGCAACTGCACTTCTAAGTTCACCCTGCACCATGGGCAACATGAGGGCACCTGGGCCCTCTATCACCACAAAGATTCTGCTAAGACGAGTTCCTCTAAAGTTTGAACAGTCCAGTAGAGTCCTAAAGCTTTCTACTAAACATGGCTGCAAAGATTTCTTTAACAAACACCCAGAAACACATCTTTAACAGAAATGTGTCAATTGGTTAATGTCCAGATGTGACACCTTACACCTGTCCACAGCGCTCTGTCTCTCTTCCCGTTGCCACAACCCGCCAGTCTTAACGTTTTGATTGCACAGGAAACCTTTTGGGCTTAACAGCAGACCCAGCCTCGCCAACCTCCACAAGACTTTTGTCCTTCTGAATTCCATGACATTGCTTCCCAACCTTAGGGAACCCGGGTCTTCTTGGACTGCAACTCCCAGAAGCCTTCGCCACCAGCAGGTGTGCTGGCCAGGGTTTCTGGGAGTTGCAGTCCAAGAGCATCTGGGGGACCCAAGGCTGGGAAGCAACGTCTTTTGGGACAGTGGGAATAGGCTCAGTCCTAGCAGATACGAAAACATGGGAAGAAGATGCTCAGGATTTGCAGCGGCACACACGATCAAACCGGTGTTCCCTGCTTAACCTGCGTTTCTCTAGGGAAGAAAGGCTTAGGGGGCAAGTACAGCCTACCAGATGTTGGCCTCTGGCCCTTGTCAGTCCTGTCCAAGAGGTCTCATGATGAGGAACGTTGGGGTCCTCTTTCTGGAGGACATCCCAGAGGTTTGCTCAGCCCCAAGACTGCAAAACAGCAGCTATGCATGCCCGGAAAAGTTGTCTTGCAAATGAGCAAGGAAATGGGTCAGGAGGAGAAAGTGCTCCGAAAACAACCCGAGAGTCTGCCTGTTTATTTATAGAGCATCTAGAATGTTCCATCCTTCAGGAGCACAGCAGACCTCCCCCTCTCCTCCCCCCCCAGCCCCGGTTGGGTTACATCCCACACATGCCTTTGGCCAGCTTCTCCGAGTTTCCTAGGAAGACGGTGCTACTGCTTGGCTACTCTTGACTTCTAAGGAGGAGCGAGAGGAAACCCACCCGCTTCTTCAGCTCCTTGGGAAGAAGGCCTTCCACTCATCACTCAAAGGGGCCAGAAGACTCAGGCAAGGCTGAGGTCTTGGCTACACTTAGAACAGGTCTACGGTGGAATGCCTCTAGCCTGGCCACCCTCTGTCTCCTTGCCTTGGTCCCGTTCATTAATCTTGAAGATCCATGATCCAAAAGCCAGTGATTTCATGCAGGGCCAGCCCTACTATTGGGCAAGAGAACAGGGAGCAAATTGCCAGCTCTTCCATTTCTCTGTGTTGTATTTTTTACCACCGGGAGTGGGAAAACAAGGCTTATGAGATTTCCTACCTTCTTTGCCAAAACAACTGGCCTGGCTTGACATGCTATTGCAGTTTGATCTGGGTCAGCGCGGGGGGGTGGTGGTGTTATTTGTTGCTTTGCCTTAGGCAGCAAGATTTCTGGGGCTGCCTGGCCCTCATTTTATGCTCCTGGCTCCAATAATTGCTCTCCAGTAAATTTTGTCCCAGAGAGACACATCTCATGATGTACATGGTCCGAAATATATTGCTTGACCTCTTATTCACCACGGGGCCCTATTGGCTAGTGTCCATGGCAAATAAACACCATCTACCACTTCAAAGGCCTGGAGCACTTTTGCTACTTTAGAGAATAAAACCAGGCAGAATAACATCTCCGTGGGGAATACACCTGCCAATGTAAATGGGTTGAAAAAACTTCCATTTTAGAAAATTAATTCTTTCTTTCTTTCTTTCTTTCTTTCTTTCTTTCTTTCTTTCTTTCTTTCATCTGTCCATCCATCTGTCTGTCCTGGCTCTTTTAAGGCGGGATATAAATTAAATAAATAAATAAATAAATAAATTCTAACATCTTTTTAAAGAATGCCTTGTCTATCAATCAGGATGTCTGGCTAATTGTGGATCCCGCTCATTAATCCATTGATGTTGCAATCCTAATAACCTGTTGATCCTTTCAGCCCAGCTGGGTTCCAGCATGCATGTCTGGGTCTCCACCTTTAAAGCCCCGCAAGGGCACGTCCTAAAAGCGGTTCTGGACCGCTCTCTGAAACAAAGGAAGCGGGGCCAGGGGTGGAGTGGGGGGCTAGGCGTGACACCGAGGGCCGTTGGACGATCCGCACGAGGTGCAGAGAAGCACATTTTGCCATGATCTTGTCGAATTGATATGCGAAACCTCCCCGATCTACAGTTCACCAGCGCTGGGAGCGGCCGTTGGGAGAGGATCAAAAATTCACTTTCCGACTCCAACAGGCTGCTTCTGTGGCCAAACATGATTTGTTTTTCCAGCTCTCCTCTTTTTTTTTCCCTCTCCGTGGCAGAGAGATATTTGTTCCATTTATTTCTGTTTGAGTCTCTCCAGATTGCGTTCTGCGAGATTCGCCTGGAATTTCTGATGTCTGAAAAGCTGAGTTATCTTTGAACCTCCATCAAGCGCCGGCAGCTTGCCAGTCATTGTTATATTACTCAAACAATTGTTTAAAGATTACTTCAGCTGCCTGCACCTGTCTCTTCTCATACAACCGTATCCAGGGGCAAAAAAAGAGGGAGAAGGCCGGAGGAGGCCTTGGGAACAACCCTCCGTGTTGTGCTAATATCGGGGAATCTAAATTTCCAACTCAGCGGCCTCTCTGGGCTCCCGCAAAGCAACTGTTTATATTTTCCTGTATTTCTTTGTACTTTTGTTTAAGAAGGTCCTCTTGACTCTCCTTGCTATTCTTTGGAAGTCAGCATCCAATTTTCTGTAACTTTCCCTATCTCCCTTGCATTTTGTTTCCCTTCCCTTCTCTGCTATTTGTAAGGCCTCATTGGACAGCCACTTTGCTTTCTTGCATTTCCTTTTCTTTGGGAAGGTGCATTGGGCGGCGGGGAGGGAGGGAGGGAGGGGGGGGACTGCCTAAGCCAGCCAAATCTCAGGGGAATGTCAGCCACAGCCAAGAGAGCTATGCTCTCTCTTTTTTGGGGGGGAGATACCCCAACCCGGAGCACGCAGGCTGGCGCTTCTGCGGGTCGGGGCCGTGACAGGCCTGGAAAGCAGGGCTCAAGTGTTTTACGAGCAGCTGGGCTCAGCGGCACCCTTTGGCCCGGGGCCCCAAATGTCCACTTCTCACGCATGAGGGGGGGGACACCTCACCTTTTTGTAAAAGTGAAGGGAGGCCGTGCTGTGCAATGCTTAAACAGCTGGATTTGGGGGGGGAGACTTTCAGGGGGGGTTTCAGGACCCCTTTCTGAGCCCAGAAAGCCACTGGGTAGGCATGAAGTAACAACGGCCTCCTCGGAAGCTGCCTGCGAGGAGGCGTTGGGAAGAAAAGCCGCCTTCACCTGTTTGAGCAGGTGAGAGAGATGGAGCCAGAGGAAGATGACGGGGCGGGGGCTGTGATCTGTTTAACAGGGGTGAGGGGGTTGTTCCTGGAAGGTTCCAGAAGCTAAGGCTCACGGCACCTTTTGTGCTTCACTGCTTATCCCCGGATTTAAAGCCTCTGTTTCTTGAAAGACGGAAAGAAAACACTTCGCTTCTCTAGCAGCCGTGCAAGGTTGGTTGATGTCCTTTGGTATCTCTTGAGTGGAAGCAACAAAGTCTTGTGAACCAGGAAACCCATCCCTCACACTTCACCCCAGGTACTATAATAATGTGGGTATAATGGGTATCATCATGTGGAACTCCCTGCAGGGCTCCTGGCTCCTTCCACGCAGGCAGGTAAGCATGCCTGTTCTTTTGGGGGAGCACCACAGGTCTCTTTGCTTCACTTGAGGGGGGGCTCCCCCTCCCAATGCATCAGGGCAGTGTGGGGGGGGGGAGGAGAGAGAGGTGGCTGATGGTTCTGGGTGCCCAAAATGGCTAGTGATGCTCCTGTCCAGTGAGGATCCAAGTCACTGCCCATTTTCATGCCTCCAGGGGAGGGGGGAAAGAAGCAGCCGTGGTTTTTGAGAACAGTCTAAGGGAAGAATTGCAGAGCACTTCAGCCCTAAAACTGCCTTTTGTAAGACCGCTTGGAAAAGATTTGAGGTCCCTTTCCCGACCTCTGGACCCTTGGCGCCTCTACCTCTCTCCTCGGTTCTTCCCAGGTGTCTTTGAGACAAAACAGGTGTTCAAAGCCTTCTCTTTTTCGAAAATGAAGGGTCTCTGCTTCAATTCATAATTCTGCAATGGGGGAAGCCAAAGCACAACACTTCACTTCCAGAAGCCCACTTCTCTTAGTGGTGAAAAGAATGCAAGACAGGATCTCCCCCCCCTCCATATGGCGAACAACCTGGAACCCCAGTTCAGGTAGTTCACTTTATTGACCCTCAACATCAGGCGTGTGTGTTTTGAACACCCAGAATCGACTCTAAAGCAGTGGTTCCCAAATTCAGGTCCCCAGATGTTCTTGGACTACAATTCCCAGAAGCCTTCCCCATGAGCTGTGCTGGCCAGGGTTTCGGGGAGTTGTAGTTCAAGAACATCTGGGGACCACCGAAGTTTCGGAAGCAATGCACTAAAGCATCGCACACTGGCCACCTCTGGTTAAGTTTTGCCCTCCAAATGTTCTGATTCTGCAGTTCCTAGCATTCCTCACTGTTGGCTGCACCGGCCAGGGCTGATGGGAGTTGTGGTCCCCATCCTTACAATGGCAAAGGGCCATGCGTGGCTGAGTCTCACCTGAGCAATCCTAGTTTTATGTATTCTCGAAGACTTTCACTGCTGGGATCTGATGGTTGTTGTGGGTTTTTTCAGGCTCTTTGGCCGTGTTCTGGAGGTTGTTCTTCCTGGCGTTTCGCCCGCCTCTGTGGCCATGGGCCTCTTCAGAGGACAGGAGTCAGAAGCACAATGGCAAAGGGCCATGCGTGGCTGAGTCTCACCTGAGCAATCCTAGTTTTATGTATTCTCGAAGACTTTCACTGCTGGGATCTGATGGTTGTTGTGGGTTTTTTCGGTCTCTTTGGCCGTGTTCTGGAGGTTGTTCTTCCTGGCGTTTCGCCCGCCTCTGTGGCCATGGGCCTCTTCAGGGGACAGGAGTCAGAAGCGGCCGGCCACAGAGACGGGTGAAACATCAGGAAGAAAAACCTTAAGAACACGGCCAAACAGTCCGGAAAACCCACAACAATCAATTGTAGTTTTGTTTATTCTGCTGTAGGCGAACTGGATTGCTCTCAAAGAGCCATGTTGCCTAACAGGATGGAGGGAAAACATTTCCAGTCCTGGCTCTAAGTGCACTTGATCTGGAAGCATAAAGTTTCTGAAAGAGTCGGCCAGCGGGCCAAGGGGGACCCATGGCCTGGGGCAGTGACCCACCCACCCATATTTTGAGATGCTCCTGTCCACAAGCCACCCCAGTCAGGAAGAGGGCTGGAAGACCCACAGGAAGGTATGTAGATGCCACCGTCTTTCCTAGTTGTTTACCCCCACCATCTGGAAGTTTGCAGCATACTGCCATCAGACATGGAGGATCTACTCAGGCAACCCAGCTTCATGACTTAGACTCTGCTCTCCAGCTTCCCTGCCATGCAGCCTTGAAGCCGTCTTGCAACCCACATGACTGACTTCAGGATTTAAACATTTGTGACTGCTGGGAGCAGAGGCCAGTAGCTGAGGGTGAAGAAAGAGCCTTAGGCTTTGGACTACATCTCCCTGCACACCCACCCAGCACGCTGGGAACTGTAGTCCAGAAAGAGCACACTGCACCCTATCTCGCTCTTCCCTCGATTTGCACCTGAGGTTTCCCACCTCCCCCCCTCCCCCTCCCCAGGCTCTGACCTCCAATTACTACAAATAGCTATTTATTTTATACTGCCTTTGGGAGAAGCCCATAGCAGAAATCTATAATATTTTATATCAGAAGCCTGCTCTCCTTTACATCGCTGGATGCCAACAGCTGGGACTCTTATGGAATGCGAAGGCTTTGGTTTATGGAGGGCACCCGGCCTGTTAACTCTTTGTCTTCAGCCTCCAAACTTAAGGCGAGGGGAGGAGGGAGGGTTGGCAGTTTCTCAGCCAAAGGGGGCCCTTCTTGCCTACTGGCAAGCAGGAGGGACGGATTTAACGCTGTTAAAAAAACCGCTGGGCTTTCACTTGGAAGCCAAAGACGCTCCTTTGGGTTGGGAAGGATTCATTGAGAACCGGCCCGGCTCTGATCTGGTGTTGGGTGTCAGCAGAGGCAGGTCTCTGCCAGGCGGGCGGGCATCCTCCCTTCCAACTAAGCTCCTTTCTGGGGTGGGGGCTTCCTTGGCAGACAGGTGGAAGGGGAACGACCCACCTCTGTGGGGAGCAAGCCAAAGATCACTTAGCCCCCTTGCACCTACCAGTACTTTACACCTACACGTAGGGAGAGCCTTTCCTTGCTGATCCTTTGCTGATCTAAGGTACAGTATTTTTTTTCCATACCAAGACTGCCACCCAGAAGCTGCTTTCTTGGGCGAAAGTCCCCAGCCTCCCCATGGAAAGTCACGGGGGGGGGTGTTGGACCTCAGAAGACCAGCTCTCCAACATCTCATGCATGGTGAAAACATGGGGGGGGGGGGATGTTGGACCTCAGGAGACCAGCTCTCCAACATCTCATGCACAGTGAAAACGTGATCAGGGTTGCCCTAGGCTCGAAGTCCCTTGATGGGACCTGGAAACCACTTAAGGATGTTTAAATCAATGTTTCGGAGAGTCCAGAGCCTCAAAGAGAAAATAAAACGGATGCCCCTGGAAGATCTTACACTGCAGAGGGGGGTAGCCACCTACTCTCTGGGTGTCCCAACCCACCGACCGCCTGGGCCCTGGGATGATGTCGGACCCTCCCGGAGTGTCTGCTCTACAGAGAAGGGCCGTCCGATGAGCAGATGCTTTTTGGGGTCTCTCTCCTGGACGGTCTTCCTTGCGCAGGTGCAAAAGCAGGCAGCCCTTCTAACAGACCCCAAACCCAGTTCCCAAAGCTGGATGTTTTACTTGTGTGTGGGGGGGTGGGGAAGAGAACAAAGCACTAGGAACCTTCTCCGCTTTGCTTTTCCTGGGAAGGTTGGAAGTTCTACACCTGAGCTTTCATAGTATATTTTAAAAAACTTTTTCGACCGGGCTTTTATGGCACAATCTTACAGATGTCTACTCCAGACACACACGGTTTTCTTCTTGGTCTTGGGAACGCACCTGCCTCTTCTTTGGCCTCTCCTCCAGCGGCTGGGAAGAGCGGAATTGGAGCCGCGGGAGGGAGAGGGAAAGCCCGTCTCTCTCTCTCTCTCTCTCTCGGGCATTTCGCGTGGCCTGAAAGTGTTTAACGTCCCCAACTAGTTTTGCAAGGCGTTCGCTCCCCCCGCTCCCCAGTGCACCTGCGAGAGGGCTTTTTAGCCGCGGGAGAGTCGGAAATTGAAAACCCCAGGATCGGCTGGCGGGGCTGGCGCGCGCGCACACACGCACACGCACACGCGCAAAGACACACACACACACGCGCGCACACACACTCGCCGCGACATCCTGGCTCAAGAGGATTGGCATTAATGGTCTAATGAGTTCTGGATGGCGCTGAAGCCCTTGGAGCCAGTCCATCAAGGCGCGCGGGGAGGGGGAAGATCAAGGATGCACCTGCCTGGAGTGGCTTTCTTTGGGGGAGGGGGAGAAGAGCCCCACAAGGAGGGTGGGAAGAGGGCATCGAGGGGGAAAAGAGATCCCTCCCCCCTCGCCCCAGGTCTTTTGGGAAGGGAAAGCGACCTGCTCAAGATCCCCCAGCACTTGGCTTGGAGGCAGGAAACGGGGGCCTCGGGGGGGGTTGTGTGTGTGTGTGCATTTCCAGGGCGCAACAGCCCCCTCGCCCTAAGCCTGCCTGCCTGCCTGCTCGCCAGAAGCCGCTCTTGGCGTTCAGGATCGCGGGCACGCCCCTGGCGCAGCTGCTGCGCGCCCTGACCGGCTGCGCTCCGGGGTGGGTGCGTGTTCCCTTCTGCCTCTCCCCTCCCCTCCCC